TTAAACAATGTTGTTTCGGAAGGCTCTCGGGGAAGAGGAAGTTTCGTCCGTAAGCTGGTCAGAGCTGTAGCCTCCGGCGATTCCGTGGCTCCGGCGACGTCGGAAGATTCAAAAGTGAGATTGGGTGGCTCCGATTTGAAAGTGACCAAGCTTGGCATCGGAGTCTGGTCATGGGGTGATAATAGCTACTGGAATGATTTCGAGTGGGATGGTCAGTGCTTTTGCAATTTCCCTTTCGCTTGATTTCCACTTAAATTTCTATTGACACTTTGTGATTCTATTTTAAAATTGATTTTGCTAGTTGACACTACTATGCATAATTTTTTGACTGTTTCTTTTCATTCACTTTTATAACGTATGTAAGTAAGTAAGTAAAAAGAGTCCCTCTTTATTTGATTCTTCTTTTTGAGCTTCTCTCCACTTGTTGTTACCTTTTCTCCTATGTGTCCACAAGTATCGAGATGAAAAAAGTTTTGGTTTTTTCCTTTCTGTCATGGTAGACAAGAAACTCAAGGCTGCTAAAGGTGCTTTCGATATCAGTCTTGATAACGGTATAGATTTTTTCGATACCGCAGAAGTTTATGGTTCCAAGGTAAGAATTGAAATGCTCATTACTCTTCCTAAACTAGTTTGTTTAGAAACAACTTATTGGAAATTTTCACTTTCTTGTCTCCATGTCTTATAGTTTTCCCTGGGTGCTATAAGCTCTGAAACTCTTTTAGGAAGGTACTTTTTTTTAGCTGTATTTGGGATCCATGCAACAGTGGGCAACGATCCTCATAGATATTCTTCTTGACTATCATTGGTGATATTTTCAACAGATTCATTCGTGAGAGAAAAAAGAGATACCCTGGAGCTGAGATTTCAGTTGCTACAAAGTTTGCCGCATTGCCATGGCGATTGGGTCGTGAAAGTGTTATCACTGCCCTTAAAGATTCCCTTTCCCGGCTTGAGCTTTCATCTGTGGATCTCTATCAACTACATTGGTATGTACCCCTGATTCATGTCGAATTTTACACTGTAAGGGAACTATCTCACTATTTGCTTGGTTAAAAATTTCAGGCCAGGACTATGGGGAAATGAAGGTTTTTTCTTAAGAGCAGCATTGTAGCTACTTTGAACAAAAGTCTTGTCGGTTTTTGGTAATCATATAAAATCTAATGACACTGTCAACTGATATTATAGGATATCTCGATGGTCTTGGGGACGCTGTTGAACAAGGACTTGTGAAGGCTGTTGGTGTTTCCAACTACAGCGGTATATCATTTCAATCTGTTTCTTTTTTCCTCTCGGATGATCGGGACTTGAAAGAAAACAACATTTATATCACGATGTGCAACTTTTCCTTGTCAATGCTAGGATATATATTCTCCATTTTAAAAGTAATATAGAAAGTAGAAAGTATAATTGGTTTGATAGTGCACATCATATGTTACTTTATTGAGCTTTCAAAGTTGTCATACTCACTGTTGTGGGTCACGCTCATTCAGAGAAGCGGCTACGTGATGCTTATGAGAGACTCAAAAAGAGAGGCATTCCTCTGGCCTCAAATCAAGTCAACTACAGTCTGATCTACAGAGCTCCAGAACAGACTGGTGTAAAGGATGCTTGTGATGAACTTGGAGTTACTTTAATTGCATATTCCCCCATCGCTCAAGGTGATTTGCCTTTCTCTCCTTTGCTTTGTGTCATGTCTATCTTTCTCTGATAAAATTGCACAAGTCTCTGATATTATTTACTCAAAACAACTAGGCCAGTGAACATCTATCTTTTCTTCTTCTGTTTTTCCAGGTGCTCTTACTGGTAAATACACCCCAGAGAATCCACCCTCAGGTCCTCGGGGTCGCATTTATACTCGTGAGTTCTTAACAAAGGTAAGAGCTTTGACTGCATAGATCTATGTTATTTACCTCAGCCATATATATGTTTCTGCAAAACTATAGTTACATTTAAAATACTCTCAGAGTCTTCTAGGAGACTTACATCTAATTGCTATAAACCTGCCGATTTTTAGTCCTGCTATTGTCTAAGGATATTCTGTTTTGAGAAAAAGCACTCACTTCTTATACACACCCATATACACCAATCAATGTACCTATGCATAAATTATCAATAGGTAGCATAATCCTGCCAAATTGCTTCACTAACTATGACTTGTGACGTTACAGCTCCAACCCCTGTTGAACAGAATCAAACAAATTGGTGAAAACTACAGCAAAACACCCACACAGGTTTGTTCTCTTTTGCTTATGCGCTCTATCTTTGGTTTTCCCTGCCTAAAGTTGAAGTCCAAAAATGTAAAGAAAAATAAACACGTATAATTGTGTGATCCACATTGAGCTATCCAAGTTGTACACCCTCTGCATGTTCATCCTACTCTAGGTACTTGCAGATTACCATATTTTTTCATCAGTCATTATTATGTGAATAGACGCAAATACACGTATAAGTCAAATTAGTTTGTATATTTACTTCTTTAGCTGATTTTGAGGAACAAGGCCGTGTTAGAAGTTCAGTAAACCTAAGGATGGAGTCCTTGATTTGCATCGAATCATATGCCTTTTTTTGTTTTTTTGTGTTGTTGTGTGCAGGTAGCATTGAACTGGTTGGTGGCACAAGGGAACGTGATACCCATCCCAGGAGCCAAGAACGCAGAACAAGCCAAAGAGTTTGCGGGAGCGATAGGTTGGAGTCTGACAGACAACGAAGTGAGTGAGCTACGGTCCCTGGCCTCTGTGATAAAACCCGTCATTGGTTTCCCTGTTGAGTATCTCTGAACTCATTGAAACCCCGTTTGTAGCACTTGTAAAGCTCAAAGGTTACAATATGATGAAAAGTAGCATGTAAATGATGGTAAAGTATTTTAATACATATGAAAATAAAACATCTTTGCTTATTCAAGAATTTTACAGTAGCCATACAAATGATCGGAAAAATAGAGGGCGTTTGGCACTTGATATAAAATATCAGTTCTAGTCACACATCTCAATTCGTCTGCATTTTAACCTATCGCGAGCTTTCTTCATTGTCTTTAGGATGTTTTTTTAAGGATTAAGATTTCGTCAGTGTCTTTACTTGGAGAAATAATTTACTGAATATAGTTTTTTTAGAAAACTTGAAAAGGGTCTGTTATCACAGGTACACAAGTGAAGCCGCAAAGGTAACATCATCTTGATAGGTCTCAAAAGCTCGGTTCCATTTTCCTTTTTTTACAAGAGACAAATGAAGAAAGCAAGCAGAGCATTGTTATGTTGTGTTGCTTTCACTCAAGCAACACTGAAAGAAGTGGCTGCGTTCTCAACAAATTTCCTGGCTCCCTTGAACCACCTCTTGTCTCCAGCTTGTGCTTTGCAGATGTAAAGTTTCCCTCCGTTCACAGTGGCTGTGATCAGCTGGTGCTTTCCACCTTCGTCTCCATCAGCCGTTCTTGTCAACACCGACAAGTAATAGTATGGTTTTCCACCAACGTCCTGAGATGATGAGTCCAGAATGTTTGCTGTTGCCACTGCATTGTTGTCAAAGCCTCCCTGCAAGAAACATCAGATTCACACACACAGTTAGGACCTGATAGTCTAACTACACATAAGGTAACAATGTTGGTCACGTTATAAAATTGAAGTTTATATATCCCTCTTTGTTAGAGAGGATAAAATCTTTGCCTGTAAGACTTTATCCAAAACTAGAGAGATCTTTGTAGGTTTATCAGTTGGCAAAGGATTTGTTCTATGGGTTGACAACAAGGGAGAGAAATTTTGAGTTTTGGGTGTTTGATTCTCATATTCTATTATATCAGCTTCATGTTTACATTACCAAAAGACAGTTGGAAGTTTACCTCAGAGGCAGTCTCGCCGAAGTAAGCTTGTTTCCCTAGGAGGTAATTAACCTGCATAAACCCAAAACCGAATCAACATTCAGTCTCACAGTTCATTAGAGTATTTGATTTATCAATATGTTTATAGATGATGGCGTAAAGCAAAGACCTGAGAGAGGAACTCTTCGGGAGAACCGTAATCAGTGATGGACTTCTTGTCGGTAGGAGTGACCATGACATTGAGATTGCTGGTGGCATCGAAGTTGTCTTCGTACCTAAGGACTTGTCCTGGATACTCTATCTCTTTGCTTGGGTTCCATTTTGCTGGCACCTGCACTTTGAATCCATCTCCACTGTATGGCATGAAGTCTGTGTTCGTCTTTGGCTTCCCAAACACATTTGCTGCAACAAACCAAATTAAAAAAAGGAGAAAAAGAAACCCCACGATATGTTTTCAAGATTATTTATTGGTCTGAAAGTGACATGATCCGAGATTATCTGATTTTTTTTTTTTTAAATATGTATCCGCACCTGCTTCACCGTAGGCGGCATCAGCGGGAGATACTTTGGAACCAACAGCGGCGGCGCCGACGAGGAGGGTGAGAGCGAGACGGCGAGAGACGGCGGAGTTATCGTCTTCGTGAGGCTGTTGGGCTTTACACATGATCTGAACAGGTTTGGAGAGCGAAACGTGACGCTGGGAGGAGGAGGAAGATGATGATCGTGCGGCTGAGGAAGCCAATGCACTCTGGTGTAGGAAACACGCGCTGTACGCCATTCTCTCTCTCTCTCTCTCTCTCTCTATGTCTGTCTCTCTTTCTCTCTCTGTGTATCTCTCTCTGTTATGAAAATGTTTTTGAGGATTGTGGAGTGTGTTAATGTATGGAGCTCAAACGAAGAGTGAAGCTCATTGGCTGGTTTCGGATATTGGAGGATCTCTGTGTTGATGTCCAGATAAGGTTGTTGAGGTCTTGTATTGTGACACGTGGCAGATACGCTTCGTTCTTGTTCCACGTCAGATTCATTTGCTTTCGGTTCCATCATGTCTACTCACATATATTTAGTATTCTACTCTTCCAAGAATCAATCTTTTTCTGCTCACGCTACACAGTTCTGGATTAATATTGGTTTTTCTTCTTTTTCCATTACATGCGTACGAATTTGTTTCAAATTAATGATAGAACAATGGTAGCACTAAGTTAGAACGACTACAAATTATCTACTGAAATCGTGACTACAACAATAATAATCTAACAAAATCGTTAAAATTTTCCAAATCTGTTACAAACCTATGTAGATAAATCATGGTAGGTGACATTTGAACAAAATTCGGTAGGTAACATTTGAACAAAATTCGTTTCATGACAAACACCTAAATGCTCGTTAAAACACCGAAGTGTAATAGGGGCATCATACTTCTCTTCCTGTTTGTCCTTGCGAGTAACCTTCTTGGTTTCACTTTCTGTTCCGCTTTACAATTGTCCTCCTTTAGTGCAGCTTCAGTCCGTGGAGTGTTTGGGTCACAGTGATCATTTCCCTTGGTATGATCCGAAGGTATGCTCGCTTTTACCTCTATCTAACCCGACTTCTTCCCTGATTTTCGCTCTGTTTTTGCTTTCCGTTGTTCTTGTTGCTTAACCATTGATGGAGCTTCAGTCAGAACATTTTTTTGGTCAGGAGGTTCAATCCCACTAGTAGAAGGCATATTCTCTTCCATATTCTTACCCGAATCAAAGCTGTCAGCTAATTTGCGCTTTTTCTTTTTTGGTTTCTTAGCCGCTGGAACAGTGTTTGAGTCAGCTTGCTCATTACCACTGACAAGATTCAAAGGAATGCTCTCGTTCTCCTTGCCCGGATCCAACAGGCTGACTGACTTAGGCTCTTTTTGCTCATTCCTATTAGCCAGATCAGAAGGCTTGTTCTCTTCCATGTTCACCAAATCAAGATTGTTGACCGATTCGCACTTTTTGGACCTTGATCGCTTCTTTTTTGGTTGCTTAGCCGCTATCGTAGCTTCCATTGGAGCAGTGCTCGGGTCAAGTTGTTCATCCCCATTAGCAGGAATGATAGGCAAGCTTTCTTCCATGTTACCATAATCCAAGTTGATAGGTAGATTAAGCTCTGTTTGCTCATTCTCATTAGCAAGATCCGAAAGTGTGTTTGGGTTGGGTTGCTCATTACCATCAGCGAAATTTGAAGGCAAGCTCTCTTCCATATTACCCAAACCCAACTTGTTGGTTAATTCGAGCTTTGACCCCATTTGAATAGTGGGCGGGTCATGCTCCTGAAGCTCATTGGGGTGAGCGGAAAGTATGTCATCCCTGGGACTCGTTGCATCTGTCACTGAAGCAATAGGTTGCTCAGCTAAATTTTGAGCCAAAGATTGGGCAACGCTATCATTTGAGAGAATACAAGCTATCGCGTACATAGAAGCACCGAGATGAGGCGGCAAATTTTCCTTTGGATGATTAACCTACAAAATGCAAATTAAAGGTTTGAAGATGCCATTGCCAAAATCAAACCATGAAAACCTTAAATCGTAGTGATTATACAACTCATGTACCTTGAACAAAATGGACGCCATTAGTCTCTCTCTCAAGATGTACATTTGAGCAATTTCCAAAGCTGTAACCTTGAAAGGCAGCCACCGATCCACTATTACTTTTACTAAATTTTCCGGAGCAAGCATTATTTTCTCTCCATCCCTACCACCCTTTTTATCTATGTCCATCGCATCTCCTACAATTTCTTCCTCGTTATCACTCTTATCAGCATCATAGCTCTCTGTAGGAGACACGGCTATCTCTCTTGAAAACAGTAACAAAGGTACAGTGGGGAGAAGAGTGCAGCTTCTTATCTGCACACCCCAATCTCCTCGAGTGATCTCATCAAAAACAATCAAAGCTTCGTCATACTTGGAAGAGGAAATGTTGACATTGTTTGCTAGCGAGGGCACACGAACTTTAGCTCCAGTAATAGTCTCTACTACAGACCTTGTCTGGTTCTTGGAAACTGGGCACATCCTTCCTAACATAGGGTACAATCCTACTGCTACAACAGCACGGAGAATACCCGGATCATGAGCATTCAGGCTACAGTTTGAACTGCTAGGGATGACCCCATGTCTTTTAAGTTCTCCCTGAAGCTTGCGACACAGATCATCCAGCCTCTTCATGGCGATTTGGGAGATGAAGTACTTAGAACAAAACTCCTTAGCTCGACCACTTTCTTTTGCATTTTTCCAGCACTGAAAAGCCGCAACAGTCGCAAGATGATCACTGTGGTCTCCATAAAGCGATGCAAGTTCATGTTTTGCGGCAGCAGCTTTTTTTCTTTCACCTGGCAACATGGGCATGATAAATGGATCCTTCTCGTCGGCTGCACATGCCAGAATAAGTGCTGGATCCAAACAGTTCACTAATATGGAGAAATAAATCATCTTGCTAATCCGAGGATGAACTGGAAGCTGACCAAATTTCTGTCCAAGTTCTGTCAGCTCTTCTTGAGGAGTCAATGCCCCAATATCTTTAAGGATGATTAAGGCATTCGCAATACTTTGAGCAACTGGCGGGTCCATCAATTTCTGAAGGAATTTATTTACATTGCAATTCGGATCCAGCATTTTAACCTGAACATATTATTGAAGGACATCAGTAAGAAATCAAGCATGCGAGACCTGTCAAACAGGATGGTACCATACTTGAACAACATTAAACATCATAGAAAAAAAATATACATTAGAAATAACAGCACCTGCAAGCAGAGTTCATCCACTGGCATTCTCTTAACTTCAGGAACTCTAAATTCGGGTAAAGACGCTTCCCGGAGTTTAGAATATAGATGATAACAAACGCCGGGCTGGCAACGGCCTGCTCGACCTGCCCTCTGTTTTGCATTTGCTTTTGATACCCAAGATGATTGGAGCGTTGACACATCGTTATAAGGATCATAACTCTTTTCCTTCATCCGGCCGCTATCTATCACATAAACCACATCATCAATAGTAACTGCTGATTCAGCAATGTTTGTTGCAAGCACAACTTTGCAACAACCTCGAGGGGGACAATCAAAAACTTTCTTCTGTTCGTCTGCTGGAACCCGTGAGTGAAGACATAAAATGCTGAATTTAGCACTATCAGCAAAAAAGGGATTCTCAAGCAATTTCTCTTTTGTTTTTCTTATTTCCTCCCACCCAGGTAGAAAAACAAGAATGGCACCAACTTTTGAATCACCGCATATTTTCTTCATTAACTTCACTATAAGACCCACATCTACTTCTTCTGGTTTCATTGTTGCCATATACTTATCAAGTAAGTCTTGTGTTTGCTGAGAATTGGACTTGGTGTTATCCGCATGTTCCCTGATTATTTGAGCAGTTTCAATTTGATTCTCTTTTTCAGCCAATTCTAATGCGGTTATACCTTCTTTGGATTTCAGTGTACAATTAGCGCCAAATGAAAGGAGCTTGCAGACATCGCTAACCCTACCCTTTCCAGCAAAGACCATAAGTGGTGTTAAACCGGTCATTGAATTCTGGTAATTGTAAGCCTCAGGACTTCCTTCAGAAAAAACTAGATCTAAGAGACAATCAAACTCATCATTAGTCCATGCCAAGTCGATAGCTTCATCTAAAACAACTTTTTCTTCGTCTTTAAAATCACGCTTTTCACTTGGTATGTTCGAATCAGCAGAAAGTAGATGATTATTCTTGTCTGATATCAGGACAGAGAGTGCGTCTTCCAGAAAAAAGGTTCTCACCTATCGATACGGACGCGAGATATTATTTTTCAATACAATGAGACAAGTAGCACATTCTATAGCAAACTAGATAGAAAAAGACACGAAGAGAGAGAGGAATTAACTGGATAAGTGAATCCAGGCACTCGGACAACCGGGCAACCTCCGAAATAATCGGAAAACCTCTCAGCATCAAGAGTAGCACTCATTAGAATCTGTTACCACAGAAAAATATTTATTCTTATGTTGCAAATGTATCATACCAATAGAAAACGAAGAAGAGCATAACTAACCAGTCGGAGATGAGGATTAGTCGGAAGTAAGTCTCTGCAAAAAAAAAATCACAAATTGATCTGAATTCTGCCACTCACCCAAAGATTCAAACAGTTGTTGGTTTCGTTTCTTAGCTTCAAATAAATAATTTAAATACAAGTATAGCAATGCATCTAAATTATAGTGTGGCACCAATTAAACGATAGCCATCATATCTATTTGACTTTTTTGGTTCACGTTGACAAGCTGAGCACATAAGCGTTTAAGAAGGCTAGAGAATGTACCTTAAAATCATTAACATGAAATCAGAGTAGGAGTCCCTTTCATGGATTTCATCCTACGAAGTGATCCACAGATTAGTGACCAATATAGACATCTACAAAATCAATCTATGAAGTGATCCACAAATTAATACTCTTTTTTTTCAATTAAAATTTTACTCCTCCGGTGGTAGAACCAGGACATGTAGTGAATGGGAAAGCATACTTATAATTACATACAAAAAAAACATATTATAAATTAAACAAGAATGTGTTACCACAATAATGTGAGTTATATCAGGAACACAGCTGTTAACGCCTTTGCCTATAAGCACTCTCAATAGAATGCCATTAGTGCAGAAAACAACTGATGACCCTCTTCCACCTTCACTTTGCAGCCGAACCTAGATTAATTTGTATCATAAAGTCAATGATATATTGAGAAAAGACTGTAGCCCTGAGAACTTGTGTGTCTATCATATGAAATAAGTATGTCTAAGAAAAAGACCCTTTACCTTGTAGCCGACGGTTCTCCCAATAGTTTCACCTCTTTCCCAAGATATTCGATCAGAAACTTCATTTAGGAAAGAAGGTATTAAGTAAGGAGTTTGCCACTTTTACTGCATGCATTTAAATGAAAAATCTAATAACTTCGCAAGATTTGAATCAGATTACAAACCTGAAATAGCTGAGATACGACGAGGTTGTGTGCAAATGATTTTGCACGCTTCTTGCTTACTATACCACATATGATCTAGAAGATATTGAGGCACCTAAAATATCAACACCTGAAGCACCTGAGAAACCTCACAAATGAAAAAAAAACAAAAAAAACAAAAAAACAAAAAAAAACGAAACTAATACTTGAAATAGAGTACGATTTATAAATATTCAGTGATAAGGTAATAATGTAAAAGAACACAAACCCTTATTCCACAACACTTAAAACTCATTTTTTCACAATGCATAAATATTATGTAGCTAGCTTTGGACATGAAAATTGACAAGATGAACCTAGAAAATAAATAAAACAGTGATGATTAACTATACTAGACTATCTTAACATTTATACCCAAAAAAAAAGAAAGAAAAAACTATACTTGACTCCACCAGAAGAAAACAATACAGAATAAATAGCAAAAACACAACTACAAACAACAAGAGGAAGACGTACCTGAGTAGTTTTCCCACAACCAGTTTCACCAGCAATAAGAACAACCTACATTTCAAATAAGAATGAATAAATACTCTTTCAAAATCAGTGGAAATCCCAACTGAAAGCTCAATTACGAAATTCAAATCCTGAATCCAGATATAGAGAAACAAATTAGATATCAAGAAACCCATATATATAACCTGATTGGATTCAACTGCAGATATAATGGCGTCGCGAAAAGATGCGATGGGAAGCTTTGAACGTGCTTCAAAGATCTGGACAAATCATTAAAATAGAAGAGTGTTTCTTTTACCCAACACTGCATGGTTTGTACTTTCTGAAACATGTATAGATAAATATTTCAATCTTGTGAAAATACATAAACAGCTAACCTGTCGAAAACGTTTATCATTTTCCAGTCTAGAACTCAGAGATGCCACGTTATTCTTAATATCGTGTTTTGTCAGTTGAGGTTTCTGGAAGAAGTCATCTTTCCAATTACTGCGGATGTTTCCAGTATATATACCCAATGATGTCCCAGTAGTATCGCCGTCACAAGGTGGATAGCGAGTAAATAAATCGTTCAGAACAGCTTTTGCCTCAGGTGGAAATGAAACACATTTGAGCTTCTCTGGTGGTACCATCTTCTTTCTTAGAGCGCTACCTTTCTGATATCTGGTTTCATACCTATGATTGCTCTTTGACTTTGAAATGCTATCTCCTTCCTCATCTGCACTCCCAGCTTTACTTTTGAAAAGAGAAAGACGCCTTTCTTCCCCACTCCTACACAGAATCCAAGAGGATAAGAAACTAGGGTGCTCTCAAGTAGTAGATACCCAAAACTTGGATATCCCCAAATCGTCAAAGAAAAATTGCATAAAGCTGTGACTGACCCGTGACTTTTTGATCGAAGACCCATCCGTCGGCACATCTGATGAACGATGCCACGTTCGCCATTTGTAAGATGCTGCTCAAAGACGTAAGCTACACAATAGAAAGCCAACACACTTGCATTCAATCAAACAGAACATTCCGATAGAAATCACCGAAGCTAACAATAACTTAAACACCACTGAGAGTAGAGAGTATTGGCGTTCATAGCTGAAGAAACGTTGATTAAGAAGATAGGAATCAAAACAAAGGAGTCTAATAGCTAAAACTCACTATCATTCCCGGAGGCGCGAAACTCCTCAAGGAGCTTGGTGGCCCAAACTGTAGTGGTTTCGCAGAGACGAATATGCTTCGTATTCGTCTTCTTCTTCACCATCGCTTTTTTTAAGGTTTCTCTGACTCTCGATACTAGTGAGCAGAGACTGTTCGGCGGCCTGTGTCCCGTTCGTTGGTTAGTCTTTCCGGTTTCGCTCCTTTCCGCCTCCTTCCTTTACCCTATTTTCCTTTATTTCTTTCCGGCAGGCATAAATTTATTTTATTTTATTCTTTTTAAGAGAAAATAATAATCCTTACTGGATAGCTCTAAGTGCCCATTGGGCCTTATGGGCCACAATTAGGTTAACTTAGAAAAATAGTCTGATCGGGAAGACCTGCACGCACCTGATTCATTCGCTCGCACTCCTTGTGTTTCAAATTTCAAAATAAAACGACATTTTATCTCTCTCATTTTCTGCGTGTTTCTCGGGAAAATCGTCCGCCTGATTGTTTTCTCTTTCACTGTTGCGCTGGTCAGGAAATCAAATGATATGAGACGTCTGTTGATGAAGCGAAACCTAAGTCCACTGTGCAGATCCGTGCTCAGATTCATCGATATATCAGTTTGTAGAGCCATGGCTTGTTTTCTCGACTGCTTCCGCGCCAGAGCCGATCGCTCTACTAGTAATCTCGTCTCTCACTCTTCACTCGCCGATTCCAGAGTAACTCTTTCGCTTCTCTTGCTTGCTTTTTCCCCATCTTTTCTTTGCATGATCGTGTCAGTTTTGGTGTTAATCTAGCTGCGATTTTGGTCGTTGAGGAAATAGATCCTTCCCTGATAGATCCTTGAGCTTGATTTTGTGTATGATGGATGTATCTGTTGGTTACTGAATCATATATTTGGACCACGTTTCTTTCGATTTTCTTGATCAAGATCATATCGATCTGACCCAAAATTGCCTCTCCCTAACAAGTTTCCTTTTCTTATTGATCTTCAGAAAGCTCAGGACTCGCAGAATGATTTGTCAGCTTTGTTTCTTGCTAAAGGTAACTCTCTCTTTTTTTATGGTTTTATCATGAACCGAGATGATTGTCTTGTTTTTGCTCTTGTTAACGAATGGGTTTTGGTCGTGACAAAGCAGCTTCTTCGCCTTGCCTTGACAAAGAAAGACTTGATTTGGATTCTATACATATTGACAAAGACCTACGGGATGAGGTATGGTTCTTATTAGAACATCGCCTCTAATCATCTCTGATGTGTATTATCCTTCTATCATGATCAAGATATGTGTCCTTGGATTTGATTTCCAATTATCAACTTAACTGCTCGTGAATCAATTTCTAGCTATTGAAACCCTGTTTTTGTTCTTGCAAGTCTTATGAGAAAAGATGGGTTTCTATGTTTTTTGTTACTGCGGTGGTCTTTAGCTTTGTTTCTCTATAATGAAGGTGCTATAGATTCTAGACTCTTTCTTTGTGGAACCTCAGAATTTCTACAGAATCTGATTGTTGATGCTTCAAAGAGTTCATGCTGAGAATCTAACGCTTTTTTCCTTTTACTTGTGGAATCATAGGCCCGATTTCTCAAAGCTTGTGGTACTATACTCGAGACACCTATCGAAATTAGGAAAGCATCCCAAAGACTAAGTAGCCCTCAACATTCTGGATCTTCTCATTTTCACTCATGGATTTCCAGTAGCTCTGCGATGGGGTCTCATTTGGCTGAATCGCCAACCCCCATGAAATCTTGTGAAGAGGTCGGAAGACCATCATTTACTTCAGAGCAAACAGCTAGCAGGTAAAATAAATACACCAATTCAAATTGCTCTATGAATAAAAATATATAATAAAAATATGCTTGATTGAATTGACATGGTTTCTTGATAGAAATAGTGTGGTTTCTATGGTTTAACGGATCTTTGGATCTGGAATTCACTATTTTCCTTTTTCATATTAGTTGTGTAATCGATGTCCGGGACAGTTCAAGGATCTCTTCTGCTTCAAGTGATAGTATTGAAGTGGAGAGCATTGGCACTGCAATCAAGGGTGAGTTGGATAAAACTGGCAGGCCAAAGCTCACAGCTGGAAAGACTAAGTCTGTCCGGTTTGAATGCGATCTTGATCAGTCTCACTCTTCTAATTCTTCCGAGAATAGCAGTTCAAGAAAACCCGAGATGGGTGGCAAATATTCTTTTACAGTGAGCTCGCCTAATCCAACCCCCTTGAAGCTATCTGATGAGATGCAGACTCCTGGAACCATATATCCTGCTAACATCGAATCAGCGGGAAGGGGGAGGCCAAGAATCAGGTCGCAGTTTGTGCATTCAGTTTCCAATTTAATGGAAAATGCATCCTTATATAAGTCCCTTCATGATTCTCATGAAAGCCTTGAACAAGCTGAAACACCTTCGTCATCAACTTATGAGGAAAAGGTGGAAGAAACCTCAGATGAGAAATTGTCCAAGTTTGAGGCAAGTTTTTCTCCTTGGCTAAACCAGCTCAATGACGACAGTGACGAAAACATTGCGATTTCAAACGATAGAACACCAGGACTCGCTGCCATAACTCCAGGTGACAGGCCTATCATTGGACTAGCTGCTGCTCAGTGGATCGAGAATGACCAAACTGAGATATCACCCAAATTGTGGGATGGAAATGGGATCCCAAATTCGACAACCAAATACAAGGAGGTATATTTCCTTGCATTTCATTTCCTCTGTCCATGCTCTTTCAGTTCCTTAAATAATCAGAAACTATTCTTCTTACCTTATGCAGGATCAGAAAGTGAGCTGGCATGCAACACCATTTGAGGTGAGATTGGAGAAGGCACTTACTGAAGAAGGTTGTCAAATTTTATTCCCTCCAAGGTATATATTAACCGCAAATCTCAATGATATCCCTAAGAAGTGATGAAAAACGACACAAGTTACCATAAATATGTGTGGTGCAGGAAACTTGAAGTGATGATGGAGGAGGTTGAAGGGGACACAGACTTATCGCAGCTGCAGCATTCAGTGCAACCAAGCTCGGTAGTTTCCTTCTGAAAGTCTTTTTGGCTTTCGTACAGAACAGTACTTTTACATATGGTTATCATGACTTGTGAGCAAATGAAATACTCTTGTTTCGGGCTTTTTAAAGAGCTTTGAAGATATCAAAATAAAGTATAAACAGAGACGTTTATGAACCCCTTGGGAATTTTTTCTTCACCAAGCACTGTATTGGTCTCTCACTTGAGTAATATTACATATATTTTAATGTTGGATACGTGTGTTCATATTTTAAAATGAAGCAAAGCAGAGGTTCCGTCAAGTCCTTTAGCATTGAAGTGAGTAGCATATTCTCTAATGGTTGTCTCTCTGTACTTTGGAGGGTTTGCTTCAGACACAAGCTCTCTAATGGGTCCGTACATTGTAGGGTTCGGTCTCATGCCGGTGGTAAAGAAACATGCGACAGAGACTCGAGCTCTTGAGGATCTGTTCGCCAATACTCTATGCTCCAAACTGATGAATTTGTCGTTTGTTATAAGCTGCATTAAAACCACGAAACCAAACAAAAAAAAACCTTTGAATTAGAGGGGAGATCAACCATACGATGCAAAATTTTGAGTAAAAAAAACATTGGTAAACTTGCCTGTAAAAGATCTCCGATGTTGATGATGAGAGCGCCGGAAACATGAGGAACATCGAACCAATAGCCTTCGCGACGAACCTGAAGCCCTTCGATCTGATCTGGAAGAAGGACGGTAAGGAAAGAGTTGTCGGCGTGCTGACTTGTGCCTAAAGTTTGGTCAGGCTCTGGACACGGTGGGTAGTAATGGGAGAGCATGAGCAAACCCTTGGAGCAATCCAAGTCCTTGAGGTGATTAGAGTTCAACCCTAAAGCTTCAGATAAAAGCTCAAAGAGAAACTCACCCAATTTCATGGCTTGCTTTGCGTATTCGATCATAACATCCCTGAAACCAATGAAGTGATCATATACACCATACGAATAAAGAAGATTACACATCAAATCAAGTTAAAGCAACGGAGTAGTCATACCTACAAGCCTCTGGCAGATCATGTGGTTCCGGAGGATTTGGAGCCATGGTACAAGCGAAAGTGTCTCTCCAATTTGCAGCTGGAGAACTGAAGAGATCGAAATTACTTAAATACATAAACCTTCTGCTGAAATCGCGAGTGTAGAAGTCTTTCCTCACTTCAGGGGACTGCTCGTGAAAGTTACGAACTCCTTCTTTCATCCTCTCAAGAAGATCAAGAGAAACTCCATGGTTAATCACTTGGAAGAAACCCCACTTGGCTGCTGCTTCTTTGATCCCTTCAACCGCGTTCTTGCGGCTTATCACGTCCTCGAACACCCGTCCTCTGAGATCGATCGTTGGGATCGTCTTGAGATGTAGCAAGTCCGAAGGAAGTGGTTTAGGGTTTGATAATTTGGCAGGTGGGTGATGGAAGATGCGTGGAATCTTTGAAACTCCGGCGTCGACGAGTCCTTTCACTCCCGTTTTCGTCTCATCGAAAGCTTTAAGCTCACTGGCACGATCGAAAGAAGTAACCTTTATCGTCTCCATTGTTTTTGTTTCTCGAAAAAACAGAGAAATATGATACAATCACACAACACAATAACCCATAAATCACAAGGATGAGCTATGTTTTTAAGTTCAAAGATGGGACTAGTTGCTACAGCAAAACCATTGATAAGAGATAATGTTTGAAAGACAAAAGCAACCGCTTGTGACAATGACTGGGAAAATAAATTCCAACGCATCTTTACTAGTCAATTTGAATTTGGCATTCTCACATCTTGAAACAGAGTCACAGACTAATCTAGAGGTAGCATTGAACCCTTTGGATCTGTAGAAGTTTGCATTTTCTGTAATGGTGGTGTCACTATATTTGGGAGGGTTTTGTTCAGACAATAAAACAACTTTTGTCTTCAAATTTTTTTGTTTTCTTGTATTTAACGCGTAACTTTTTTTAGTTAGTCATCACGAAATTGCATATTTATTACAAAAAAAAAAATTCATGAATATTTAAAACACACATCAAAACATTCATAATATATGATTAGCTTGATAACATCCCAAAAACTTGAAATTCATGAATTTTAGTGAATTATAGATACAACACTAAATCATCAAAATTTACAAAGATATCTAGCGACCATGCATAACCAAACTAGTAAACTATTTCTCAACCAAACCTTATATATTGTCTTCTGATTCAACTCATCAGAAATTACAAATGTCATCCAAACTATTCAACATCTTCATCATTCAATATTGAAATTCAATCTTTTAACTATAGCAGATAACATCTTATTTGGGCCAAACGGAAATGATAATATATAACGACATAAAATTCCAAATATGGTTCTCACATATCCAACATGTTACATATAATTTTTCATGTTGTATAATGTATATGTGTGATAAAATAGTACTTCGGTGCGTTTCCCCTGCCGATCAGCCCATAGGGTATATCAAAAACGTAGTAGCTCACCATATTCATATAATCATATTTTATAGTGGAGCAAAGCAGAGGTTCCGTCAAGTCCTTTGGCATTGAAGTAAGTAGTGTATTCTCTAACGGTGGTCTCTCTGTACTTTGGAGGGTTTGCTTCAGACACAAGCTCTCTAATTGGTCCGTACAGTCTAGGGTTCGGTCTCACGCCGGTGGTAAAGAAACATGCCACAGAGACTCGAGCTCTTGGGGATCTGTTCGCCAATACTCTATGCTCCAAACTGATGAATTTGTCGTTTGTTATAAGCTGCATTAAAACCACAGAACTTTGAATTAAAGGGAAGATCAACCATTACCATACAATGCAAAATTTTGAGTAAAAAAAACATTGGTAAACTTGCCTGTAAAAGATCTCCGATGTTGATGATGAGAGCGCCGGGAACATGAGGAACATCGAACCAGTACCCTTCGCGACGAACCTGAAGCCCTTCGATCTGATCTGGAAGAAGGATGGTAAGGAAAGAGTTGTCGGCGTGCTGACTTGTGCCTAAAGTTAGGTCAGGCTCTGGACACGGTGGGTAGTAATGGCAAAGCATACGCAAACCCTTTAAGCATTCCATGTCCTTGAGGTGACTACTGTTCAACCCTAGAGCTTCTGACAAAAGCTCATAGAGAAATTCACCCAAATCCATCACTTGCTTTGAGTATTCCATCATAACACCCCTGAAACAATGCGGTGATACACCATATGAATAAAGATTACACATCATATAAGGTTAAAAGAAATGGAGTCATCATACCTGCAAATCTCTGGCAGATCATGTGGTTCCGGAGGATTTGGAGCCATGGTGCAAGAGAAAGAGTCTCTCCAATTTGCAGCTGGAGCACTGAAGAGATCGAAATTACTTAAATACAGAAACCTTCTGCTGAAATCGCGAGTGTAGAAATCTTTCCTCACTTCAGGGGACTGCTCGTGAAAGTCACGAACTCCGTCTTTCATCTTCTCAAGAAGATCAAGAGAAACTCCATGGTTAATCACTTGGAAGAAACCCCACTTGGCTGCTGCTTCTTTAATCCCTTCAACCGCGTTCTTGCGCTTGATCACGTCCTCGAATACCCGTCCTCCGAGATCGATCGTTGGGATCGTCTTAAGATGTAGCAAGTCCGAGGGAAGTGGTTTAGGGTTTGATAATTTGGCAGATGGGATATGGAAGATGCGTGGAACCTTTGAAACTCCGGCGTCGACGAGTCCTTTCACACCCGTTTTCGTGTCGTCGAAAGCTTTGAGCTCACTTGCACGATCAAATGAAGCAATCTTCGTCGTCTCCATCGTTTTTGTTTCTCAAAAAACAGAGCAATATGATACAATCTGCACGCAACACGATAACCGGAAAAGCAAGAATGAGCTATCTATGTTCTTAAGTTCAAAGATGGGACCAGTTGCTATAGCAAAGCCATTGATAAGAGATAAGGTTGAAAGACAAAAGTAACCCCTGTCCCCTTGCGACAGTGACTGGGCCAGACAAGGCGTTGTAATTAAGTACTAGTTATTGCAGAACGAAAACTTGAAAAATCAAAGTCCCAACCGTCTTTATTAGCCAAAATGAATTTGGGCATTCTCGGATCTTGAGATAGAGTAATCTAGAGGTAGCATTGAATCCTTTGCATCTGTAGAAGTTTGCATTCTCTGTATCTACTAATGGTGATGTCTCTGTATTTGGGAGGATTTTGTTCAGACAAGAAAGATTAATGTTTTCAGAAATTTAGTTTTCTTGTATTCCAAGGCTTACTAATTTGAGCTTATCATTCACGAAATTGTCACTGTTTTCAACATTTGCAAGAAAGACCACATTTATAAGAAACATCATTGAGATTTTAATACACAAAACAAAACATATGCATATAACCAACATGTTCATTATTCAAATGGAAATTCAATCGAGTAGCCATATCCCATTAATTACACGTCCTTGTTTGGACCAAACGGAAATGACAACGTTTAATCCATGAAATCGACATATGGTCCACGCATCTGGATCTTTCTTAGACAATTAATGACATTCTCAGATCTTGAGATAAAGTAACCCAGAGGTACCATCGAATCCCTTGGATCTGTAGAACTTTGCATACTCTGTAATTGTGGTGTCTCTGTATTTGGGAGGGTTTTGTTCAGACAAAAGCTCTTTGATAGGTCCATAAACTCGAGGGTTCGCCATCAAATACGAACTAAAGAAACACGCCACCGAAATCCTCGGTCCATCTTCATTCGCCAAAACCCTATGCTCCACGCTTATGAACTTGTCGTTTGTTATAAGCTGCACAGTGCCCCACAAGCTAGATCATAAAGGTCGTATTTGATTCCATTGTATTAAACAAAAACTGATTTAGTAAAAAACGAAAAAAAGGTTATAATAGCAAAATAACTAAAACCTGGAGAAGATCTCCAACGTTAACGACAAGAGCTCCGGGAACGGGAGGAACATCAACCCAGTATTGGTCATGGAGAACTTGAAGCCCTCCGATATGGTCTTGAAGAAGAAGAGTGAGAAAAGAATTGTCCGAGTGTTTGGTCAAGCCTAAAGTAAGGTCTGGTTGGGGACATGGCGGGTAATAATGGCCAAGCAACAGCAATGAGTTGGTGCAATCAATGTCCTTGAAGTGATTAGTGTTTAACCCTAGAGCTTCCGAGAGGAGCTCAAAGAGTAACTCGCCTAATTTCATCACTTCTTTTGAGTACTCAATCATCATCTCCCTAAAAAAATATCCCCACCGAAAAACCAATAAAGACACTTATACATGAATGGAGACAGAATTCAGACTCAGATAAGTAACTCGTAATATCCATCCTATTTTGACTATTTTTTAATGAGTTGTTAGAGCATGATTATCAATGGTGCCTTAAAAAAATCTTAAGGTAAGAGAAATTAAGAAAAGTTAAAAAAAGTAAATAAATATATCTTAATTAAGAGATATTTATGAACTTTTCTTAGTTTTTTTTTCACTTTTCTTAATTTTTCTTAAGATAAGATTTGTTTAAGAGACCCTTGGTTTTACAGCAGTTGAGTTAGAAAATTTAATAACAAAATCGCGTATTGGTTGAATTAGTTTTGCTACGTCTATGGAGTATTTAAAATACTATTAGACCATATATAAAGATCATCGGACCTAGGAACATAACATGTTACTCTATATATATATAGACCATATAACTCGTGGTTGTAACATAAATGATATTAACGTTGAATTTTAGCAAAATATGAGATGATTATTACCCACAAGCGGCGGGGAGATCTTCCTGTCGCGGAGGATCTGGTGCCGTATAACAACCGAGCGTATCTCTCCAATTAGCCGCCTGTGAACTAAAAAGATCGAAGTTGCTGCTATACACCATCTTACTCGCCGGATCACGAGAGTAGAAACCTTTCTTGACTTCTGTGTCTTGCTCGTGAAACTCACGAACCCCTTCTTTCATCTTCTCCAACACATCGAGTGGGATACCGTGATTGATCACCTGGAAAAATCCCCATTTCTCCGGCGCGTCTCCGATCATTTCAACCAAGCTCCGCCGCGTGATCGAGTCCGCGCCACCTCCTTTGAGATCGATGGTCGGGATGGTGAACTCCGAGGAGGAAGGTGGTTTTGGACTTGTTAAAGTAGCCGGAGGTGCACGGAATATGGCAGGGACCTCCGAGATTCCGGCATCGACAAGACCTTTGACTCCAGTTTTTGTCTCGTCGAAAGCTTTAAGTTGAGTTGAACGATCAGTTGCAGCAACTGTCGGAAGCGATGGCTCCATTGGTTTGTTCTTTTAGCTGGAAATAGTGCTATTTTCATTGGATCCATCTTTAAAACAGCTTGTGCAAATTTCCATCAGTCAACGACGAATATTGTTTTTTATAATATGAAACGGAAGTACAATGAAGTGAAGGTTTATTCATTTAACCACGTGGGGAAAATAAAAAAGGTTTAAAAAATGGAGATGCGGGGTATCGATCCCCGTACCTCTCGCATGCTAAGCGAGCGCTCTACCATCTGAGCTACATCCCCGATGATGTAAGATTTTGGCCGTAGCTAGTTAAATCAAATACAAAATCGACTGGCATATGATACCACCATTATTGGCACTCTAAAACATATACTACAACAACTCATTTGATCACGTTTATTTCTGTATATTATAATAGTTTTTAGCATGACTAAGACTTATTTTAACTTAATTTCTCAAATACTATTTTGTATGTTCAATCATCAATGACTATTGTTGAGCTTGGGTTGTTGGGATTATTATACTTTTTATTTATGAGTGGCTCTCTCGTTTCGTATTGTTTTGGATGCCTTCGTCACTATCGTGGTTAATGCCTTGTCGACTGTATTAGCTGATTTATTTTCTCAAAATAAATATTATTAATATATTTTTGAAATATTTCACAAAACTATGTTCTAATATGATACCGAGCGGCCTCTTTTTTGATGTCTTTGTAAATTCCGCTCTTGTTTTGTAATTTAACAAAGTTTCACTGGGAAATTTGGGCCATTGGCCTGTGTAGCGTAGCTTCTTTTCTTTTCCCCTTTGGGCCTTGGCCTCTCTGGGTGTCTGACTGGGTTGGATACTCCTAACCGGACGGCGGTCAGTATGACCCGATCTTCTACCGGGCTGAATAACCGGTTCGTTTGAGATTCTGATTTTTTCCTTTTTTTCTTTCCAACCTTTGTTTAATTGTTTTCTTTTTCAAAGTGCTCTCACTTTCCCGGTGACTCTTTCAGTCCAAATTTCAAATTAATTCCTGCCCTAATCCCGGCTGCTCGTCGGAGGAAATATCCGGTGAGAGAGATTGAGCTATACAATTGAGAGAGTGAGTGTTTTAGGGACGGCGAGAGATGGCCGGATTACCGAGAACAGCCGGTGCTTTTGCGGTAACCCCACACAAGATCTCCGTTTGCATTCTCCTGCAGATATACGCTCCTTCGGCTCAGATGTCTCTCCCCTTCCCTTTCTCTTCCGTTTCTCAGCACAACCGCCTCGGCCTCTACTTGTTCTCTCTCACTAAGGTCTCACTCTTACTTTTCTCTTTTAATTTGCGTTTATCTTAAGAGTGGATTTTGTGAGTTAACAAACTCTTCTTTCCTTTGACGAGATTGATATTGATGCTGCAGTCTTGCGATGATATATTTGAGCCGAAGCTGGAAGAGCTCATCAACCAGTTGAGGGATGTTGGTGAAGAGATGGATGCGTGGCTAACTGACCATTTAACCAATAGATTTTCTTCCTTAGCTTCACCAGATGACCTATTGAATTTCTTTAATGACATGCGAGGTTAGCTGCTTGCTTACTTTAGATTCTTTTTTTTTTTCTTTCTTTTCTTTTCCTGTTTTCCATCATGTTTCGTATGCAGGCATACTTGGGAGCCTTGATTCAGGAGCTGTGCAAGATGATCAGATTATCTTGGATCCCAACAGCAACTTGGGAATGTTTGTTCGTCGTTGCATTTTGGCATTTAACCTTTTATCGTTCGAGGTATTGTGCTTTTTTACTTTTTTTTTTTGTTATTCTTGTGACTGAATCATAGTACTATGGATTTAGATATGTATGTGATGTTTGTTTGTTTCTTGACCCACTAAGATAAAATACTTTTCTAGGCTTGATTTCAAATGTAGACCTACTTATAAATGCCTTCAAATATGAGATCTATTGGCAAAACTCTGTCAGACCTGGTTGAAGTATATATTCTAGCTGTAATGTTCAGAATGAATATAGCGAACCTCTTGATTGCTCTTCCTTTTTCCTAGGTTGACACACCCAATTGTAATGTCAAAACTAAAGTCAGATCCTGTCATACAGCACTAGGCTCTTGTAATTTTTCGTCTACATTATTTACCTTGCAGAAACATAAGTGAATATTTGAAAGAACCATCCATTTCATTGATATATGAAACCCTTGCAGGGAGTTTGTCATCTTTTTTCAAGCATTGAAGATTACTGCAAAGTAGCTCATTCAAGCTCTGCTCAGTTTGATGCATCTAATGATAATCTGGAATCATTAACACAATATGATCAGATGGATATGGAGAATTATGTTATGGGTATAGCAACTGAAGAACTAAGCGTCCCATTTCATCTTCATACGCCTGAAGCACTAATCAAAGTGACAGAAGGTATCACTTATGGTATTCCCTCATTTTTGTTCATCAAACAAAACTTCAAATTTCTCAGAATCTCAGGTGCTAGAAAATATTGAGGGAATTCGTGATCAGGCTTTAGATGCTACTATCCTTATATAGATTTGGTAACATGTTTTTGCTGATGCATTACTATTAGTGGTAGTACACAGTACAATCTGTATCACATTTATAAAGTATTGTTTGTAAGGCCCTCAATGTTATAAAATTTCTTGGAACCAATGCAACATGCAGGTTTGCGAGTTACTAGGAAGGAATCATCTAGAATTAGCAAGAAAAATACAGAAGCTACTCGAGTTGTTTGTGCCTCGACAAGTACACTTGAGGATACTCTGGTAGATGAATCATTATTCCTTCGGACAAATTTTCAGATACAAGGTTTTTTAATGGAACAGGCTGATGCAATTGAAACGTAAAGCCTATATTTCCTTAGTAACAAATATAATTCTGTCAGAAGTATTGCTACTTTTAAGACTTTCATCTCCTTGTAATCTCAGCCATGGAAGTTCAAGTTCATTCTCTTCAAGTTTGGTCGAAAGTTTCCTTGAGCAGCTTCAGAATTTAGCCCCTGAATTGCATCGTGTAATGTCTTGCTTCTTTAGATTTATTTTTGCAGTGGATTCAGAAGTTAATCATTCTTTGACTGCTTTCATATACTTACATGTTATGTACGGCATGCAATGATGCAGGTTCACTTTTTGCGTTACTTGAATAAGCTTCACAGCGATGACTATTTTGCTGCTTTGGATAATCTCCTCCGTTACTTTGACTACAGGTAATCTGTACTTTTTGCTGTTACATCTGCTTCAAAAGAATAATTATAATTATAATAATAGTACTGCTGACTGCTTTTATCACTTGCATGTGACTCCTGTAAATATCATGTTGTGTTTGCCTGTTAGATATTTGACACTAGGAACTAAGTTTCAAACATGAGCTGATCCATGATCCATTGTCTTAAAGTGCAGGGAATGAGGGATTTGACCTTGTTCCTCCTTCAACAGGCTGCAGCATGTATGGAAGGTACGAGATTGCGTTGCTATGTTTGGGAATGATGCATTTCCGCTTTGGGCATCCTAACTTGGCTCTAGAGGTGAGCTCTGATCCCTGGCTGGACCGAATTGTACATTGGAATTTACTGGGCAGTTGGTATAATAAGTTATTCTCATTTGTGATGTAACTTGAGTGTATTTACATCATAATTATAAGTGATATCTAGACATGAAATAGGGTCTTACCATTGTTTGGTTTGCTCATAATATGGTTTTTTCTCAACCACAGGTTTTGACAGAAGCTGTGCGTGTATCACAGCAGGTATACTCTTACTTTATTCGTCTGCTATTAGCTCTGTTTATAATATATTTTGAAGAAAGTGGTGTGTTTGAGGAGCACTGCAGGACGTGTAGTTGTATGAAAGTTTCCTTAAACTGAATCTTGAGCTAGTTTCTTCTATTCTTATATCGCAAAGCAATTTAGGAAAAACTAATATACTCCCGCATTTAGAAGCATCAGACTTACTTTACTGTTGTACATGATGTTTAACGCTGCTGAAAAGATATATATATATATAACATACGAACTGATTTTTAGGGTGTCCCATGGGGTACTGCAGTCTTCGCAAATATGATAATTTTTGAATTTGGTACATCCTAAAAGGATCACATTTGTCTTATTAGGCTTCAATGTGCAATCACATAAGCACCGCCAACAGCTTATGTTGTTTGAAAATACTGTTGTTGAAGCTTTAATTCATTTATGGCATTTAAGACGTTTTTTTATTCTACAGCTTAGTAATGATACTTGCCTAGCATATACACTAGCAGCAATGAGCACCTTGTTATCAGAAATGGGCATTGCAAGTACCAGCAGTGTTCTAGGATCCTCGTACTCACCTGTCACTAGCACTGCATCTTCATTATCTGTACAACAAAGAGTGTACATACTTTTAAAGGAGTCTTTACGGAGAGCTGACAGTCTAAAATTAAGACGCTTAGTGGCTTCCAATCATCTTGCAATGGCTAAATTTGAGTTAATGGTAAGGTTTATATGTAACTGTTGATTTCTTATCTATTTAGTAGATTTATCTCTGACCTGCCTTGGGATGTGTGGTATGGTTTTTTATTTAGAACCTTGTGTATCCCTCATAACTTTTGATGCACAAAGAATCAGTGAATTTATCAGAGTGCTCTGAACATTTAGAGATCTTCTTTATAGAACGTGAAAGATGTTAACATGTTTGGGAATATATACTTTTTGGGGTTACCTATTACTTAGGCACATAGGATACATGCTTAGGAAAAAGCTGGAGCAATTTTTATATATTTTTGGTTTCCTGCAATATATATGAAAAAATTGCATGTGTTATAGAGAAAGAGAAATCACCAGTTTACCTTTCTGCATGTGTCTTCATTTCACCTCTTTCTTATAAAGCTTGAATTTGCACGTACTTGTACATTCAGATGATCTGTTTTTATTATTTTTTATGCCCAGCTAGTGCTACATGTACGACATTGCTTCTTTCACAACTTTCAACTAGCGCAGCTGATCTTTGTTATTCTAATGTTTGGTATACGCTAAATCAGTAGTAATTTTATTGTAATACAGCATGTGCAAAGGCCTCTACTGTCGTTTGGTCCCAAAGCTTCGGTGCGTCACAAAACTTGTCCAGTTAGTGTCTGCAAGGTACTGGGGTATACCACTTAACTATTTTGACTAAAGTGAAATATTCACATCTCCATTTGAGGTCTAATCAGTTCTTGAATAATCCATGGCAGGAGATACGACTAGGTGCACACCTAATCAGCGACTTTTCTTCTGAAAGCTCCACAATGACAGTTGATGGTTCTCTAAGCTCGGCTTGGCTTAAAGACTTGCAAAAACCATGGGGTCCACCAGTGATTTCCCAGGACTCTAGTTCTAGAAAGAGTTCGACTTTTTTCCAGTTATGTGATCATCCGGTCTCGATTCCTGGATCTGTATCACAATTAATTGGTGCTTCATATCTACTCCGGGCTACTTCATGGGAGTTATATGGCAGGTACTCATGCAATTTCCCCCTTTGCTGACCTTACCTTTCCAGCAACTAAGTAGTTTATTAATTCATTTGCTTATTGTTAGCGCTCCTATGGCTCGTATGAATACCTTGGTGTATGCTACTTTATTCGGTGACTCTTCGAGGTAATTTCCTTGAAATGTATTACTTTTTTGTTCTACTCTCAGTCCCTCTCACTCTCCCACCTACCACCCAGTCTCCTCCTTCTTTCTAAAACGGTCTCTTACATTCCGTTTTTGAGGGGTTTTGATATATTTCTTGCATCTATAGTTCATCTGACGGAGAGTTAGCATACTTGAAGCTCATTCAACATTTGGCACTATATAAGGGATACAAAGGTTAGATTCTGTGCACAAGGTCATGTACACCTTGTTATACCTGCCTCAGCCTTTCACTTTGGAATGAACAAATACATTCTTTGGAAAAAAAGTTATAGCTGAAAATCTTATTTTTGTATAAGAGGAATAAGAAGGCTAAATCCGTGTAGATATGTCTGTATTTTTTGACTAAATTTACTGGTGAAGTTTATTTATTGCTGCTTCTATTGCAGGGATGGTATTTATGTATTTAGATCTTCCTTCATGTTTTTTTCTTTTCCTGTGTTGACCTGTTTCTGAAACCAATGCTTTTCTAGATGCCTTTGCTGCTCTTAAGATTGCGGAGGAAAAGTTCTTAACCGTACCAAAATCAAAAATACTGTTGCTCAAGTTGCAGCTACTACATGAACGTGCCTTGCACTGGTAAGGTTTCCAGTTTCTTCTTATACATGTGAAAACTCTCTCTTGGTCCATATTAGCACCATGGGTAAGAGAAAGGATGGGGGTTTCTAATCAACTTTTTCTCCAATCAGAGCATCTCCGTGTTGGAGTTTCACTATTTTACACTGCCCTGAATTCTAGATAATAAACATCTGCTTGATATTTCGCTTAAGAAAAACCTCATAAAAACAGCAAAATCTGATTCTTCTGCCCTCTGTGATCATTTACTGTATTGTTTGAGGGTTATGTAGATAAAAAAAAACAATTGTATAAAACACTTTACAATTGTATAAAACATTCATCTGCATATAGAATTTGATCGAGCCTTTCTGTTGTGCAATTGTTATTGCTCAAGTCAGATGTACTAAGATTCTTAAATCTATTAGTGGGAATGTAAAGCTAGCTCAACGAATGTGCAATGAGTTAGGAGGCTTAGCATCAACAGCCATGGGTGTAGACATGGAGCTGAAAGTAGAAGCAAGTCTTCGCGAAGCTCGGACTTTGCTTGCAGCAAAACAGTATAGCCAGGTTTGTTGTAAACCCTTATTGACAATATGTTATTAACTCCATGTGCAATTTTCAGTACGCTTTTCTATATGCTATGCCTTGTTAGCTTATCTTTAATATTGCTTTCTTACTACGTTCTCTACAGGCAGCAAATGTGGCACACTCCCTTTTTTGCACGTGTCACAAATTCAATTTGCAAATAGAAAAGGCTTCTGTTCTTCTTCTGCTTGCAGAGATACATAAGGTAAGACATGGCTACAAGAAATTACTAGCTTGAGAACACATAAATTTGAATCTGATATCTAGTAGACAATTTTGTGTCACGTTACCAGATTGAAGTAGAAATAGCTGGTTTTCTGGTATATATTTTTCCTTCCATGCATAGCTTAACATGCATTTATTTCTTGTGAATCTGTTCCATCTCTGCTGATTTGGCTTAGACTACATATAAAACTGTTGTTATGGTATTATTTTCAATTCTTCATTAATTTTCTGAGTGGCTTTCAATTTTTGTTTTCCTTTTTTCTTTTTGGTTCTCAGAAGTCAGGAAATGCAGTCCTGGGTCTTCCATATGCGCTGGCAAGCATCTCGTTTTGCCAATCATTTAACTTGGATCTTCTCAATGCATCAGCTACTCTCACGCTGGCTGAGCTGTGGCTTGGTCTTGGATCAAATCATGCTAAACGGGCATTAGACCTTCTGCACGGGGCATTCCCTATGATTCTTGGCCATGGAGGTTTGGAGCTGCGTGCTCGAGCATACATCTTTGAAGCAAACTGCTATCTGTCTGATCCAAGCTATTCAGGTAGCTTGTGTTGTCTTGAACTACTTTGATTATAGCACATGCTTCGTAGTTGCGCTATCAAATAGTCATTGCCTAAGCGAGGATGTTCAGTAGAATAATGAATACAATTCGACTCTAATGGATACAGCTTTATCTTGCTCGTTGCAAGTTTCTAATTTGTCTTGACTTTTGTTACCAGTTTCCACAGATTCAGATACGATCCTAGATTCTCTAAGGCAAGCTTCAGATGAGCTTCAAGATTTGGAGGTAACTTGCTATATAACTTCTGGTTTAAAAACAAACCTGAATTCTATTCTACCGCTACAGACATTATTGCATAAGATATTTTATGTTGCGTTTGATTCGAGTTCAGCTTTGTTTAGCTCATCATAACTGAAAAATTTGGATCTTAGTACCCGTGATTTACTGTTGGTTCACTTGGTAAGCGCTGTGTTTATTGTGCAGTTCCATGAACTGGCAGCAGAAGCCTCGTACTTAATGGCGATGGTATATGACAAGCTGGGACGGGTTGAGGAGAGGGAAGATGCTGCGGCTTTGTTTAAGAAGCATATAATAGCTCTCGAAAATCCTCACGATGTGGAACAAAACATGCCATGAGGGTTTGTGACCTTAGTCAATAAGCTTATTGTGAAAAGCTTGTAACTTTAAATTGTAACAATGTTCCTTAAGACGCGTTCTAGTGGATCCGAACCTTGTGTAACTACTCTTAACATTGTAGAGGAGGAAATTCAATGAAAGTTATTTTATTACAATCACATACCCTAACTAAAAACCCTGCTGAACTCAACGAGCAACGGGACGGTAATCAGAGTCTTCATGTAAAAGCTGTCTCGTTCATAAGCATATAAAGAACCTAATATTGGTTTCGCATACTGTATGCTCCTACTTTAGGATATAACTTCCACCGTCACATTTCATATGCTAGGTAAATCAAAAAATCTACCAAACGGGTCCAAAGCGTGAGAAGATTGGAATTTAAAAAAAAAAATACAAAAATACAAAGTGGTTCTGTCTCATCAACCTCCAATATAAAACACAAACCACCAATCAAATTACCAAACACTTGTTAGATCTTATGTTTGCCTCATCCATATTTACATGGTTGGATAGGGTTCAATTGTTTTAAGAATATATTTGATATTTTAAACGGTAGCCCGATTTTACACGTTCGCAATCCGTAACTGGACAAGCATCAGCCAAAGAGCAAAGCAGGGAGATCCATCACGGAACGTATCCTTTTTAAAAAATTACAATCTGACTGTACACGTGTACCCTTCGTCCTTCGATGTCCATTGACAGTCAACATCTGTTGACCTGACATTCCCAGTCATACACCACGAGAGGATCTTCTTCCTTTCTTTACCTCTTCTTATATGTAAATATAAATACACTTTTACTATTTTTTTTTTTAAAATAAAATAAATCCTTATTTTGTGTCTATCGTTACTTCGTTGGAACAGAGCTCCACGATACACACTCAGTTCCGTAGCAGAGTTGCTTGGTAAATCAATGGGCCACCAAAACGCCGCCGTTCCAGAGATTCAGCTGAACAACGACGGCGATGCGGCGTCTTCGCCTGGATTCAAGCTCGTCGGATTTTCCAACTTCGTGAGGAAGAATCCAAAGTCAGACAAATTCAAGGTTAAGCGCTTCCATCACATCGAGTTCTGGTGCGGCGACGCCACTAACGTCGCTCGTCGCTTCTCATGGGGTCTCGGGATGAGATTCACCGCCAAATCCGATCTCTCCACCGGAAACATGGTTCACGCCTCTTACCTCCTTACCTCCGGCGACCTCCGATTCCTTTTCACTGCTCCCTACTCTCCGTCTCTCTCCGCCGGAGAAATTAAACTGACCGCTACAGCCTCCATCCCTAGCTTCGATCACGTCTCTAGCCGCTCCTTCTTCTCTTCGCATGGACTCGGCGTAAGAGCCGTTGCGATTGAAGTAGACGACGCTGACTCAGCTTTCTCCATCAGTGTCGCTAACGGCGCCATTCCATCATCGCCACCTATCGTCCTCGATGAATCCGTTACGATCGCTGAGGTTAAACTGTACGGTGATGTCGTTCTCAGATATGTTAGTTACAAAGGGGGAGACACCGGTCAACCCCAATTCTTGCCAGGATTTGAGCCTGTGGAGGATACGTCGTCGTTTCCACTGGATTACGGTATACGGCGGCTTGACCACGCCGTGGGAAATGTTCCAGAGCTAGGTCCGGCTTTGACTTACATTGCAGGGTTCACTGGTTTTCACCAATTCGCAGAGTTCACAGCAGACGATGTGGGAACCGCCGAGAGCGGATTAAATTCGGCGGTGCTGGCTAGCAATGACGAAATGGTTCTTCTACCGATTAACGAACCAGTTCACGGGACAAAGAGGAAGAGTCAGATTCAGACTTATCTGGAACACAACGAAGGAGCAGGGCTACAACATCTGGCTCTGATGAGCGAAGACATATTCAGGACTCTGAGAGAGATGAGGAAGAGGAGCAGTGTTGGAGGATTTGACTTCATGCCTTCTCCTCCGCCTACTTACTACCAGAATCTGAAGAAACGGGTTGGCGATGTGCTCAGCGATGAACAGATAAAGGAGTGCGAAGAATTGGGGATTCTTGTTGACAGAGATGATCAAGGGACGTTGCTTCAGATCTTCACAAAACCACTTGGTGACAGGTACAGCGGAAAAATCAGTGTTTCAACAAATCCATTTCGATGATTATAAACATGTTCGGATTTGCTAAGCAATGTCTTTCTTTGCGATTGTGTTCATAGGCCGACTATATTTATAGAGATCATCCAGAGAATAGGATGCATGATGAAAGACGATGAAGGGAAGGCTTACCAGAGTGGAGGATGTGGCGGCTTTGGTAAAGGCAACTTCTCTGAGCTCTTCAAGTCAATTGAAGAGTACGAAAAGACTCTTGAAGCCAAACAGCTTGTGGGATGAACCAACTAAAGGATTTGTAATTAATGTAAAACTGTGTTTTATATTACCAAAACAATGTTGTTATACAGATGCTGTCTTTCCATCTCACTTAAAAACAAGATCAATAAAAGATCCCATCTTAGGTTCAAAAGCAATGTATAAGCCACCATCGTTCTTTTGTGAAATGTCCTTGGATCACAAATCAACATTTAAAGATCTTAATCCTTGGGGCCAATGCTAAATTTAGCTATAAAGAACCCGATTGTATCGAGCTCAGATGACGGGTCGAATTTCTGAACCAGTTCTTCTTCACCTGGTTTTAACCATTCCCTGCAAAACATAACATGGTTCATTTATTGGAGTTTATAGCCGACAAAATCGGAGCCATCTCCTTTATCATCAATTTTTTTTTAAGGTATGCTCTGTTGATGATTTTTTATCAGATCACTCTAATGGGTACAGATGCTTACTCGATATATCCGTCCGGGAATTCACATCGACCAACTAGACCAGGTCCTCCAATTCTAGGATGCTGCATCAAGACAGCAAACACATGAAGATACATTAAGACAAAGAACCAGATCCTAATGCAATATTTGCTAAGATCTCTAACAGTTTCTTGGATATTTTATGTGTCTTCAATATGAAGACAAAAAGGGTATTTACGATCAAAACCTGTGGTGCTAAAGATAGAAAACTGTATTTATCTAGAGCATAGCGAACCACTGCCTCGTTCTCGCTAGGGTTAATTGTGCACCTAGCAAAATGGAAAACAAATCATCCACAGATAAGACTGCAGTAACTCTCAATTACTCAAGACTATATGACTGAGGAGGTTTTATTTTATGTTGATAGGCCTAATCTGCATAGCTTGGAATTGGATAACGTGAATTCAGAACTTAACAGATTTCAGATTATGTTTGCATACTTAACAGATTTCAGATTATGTTTGCATACTTACGTTGAGTATACGAGAATTCCACCAACACGAACCAATTGAACAGCCTGATCAAACATTTTCCGCTGGTACCATCCATGATTTCTCAAAGATATAACAGTCTCCTACAATAAATAACAATGGAAATATCAGTCCATAAGTCACCACCTTCTCAAAAATCTTCAAAACAGGAAGGAGGAAGAAACACAGATTCTACACTAAATTATATTACAAACACTTAAAATTTTGATCTACACATATAACCATATATATGCTACTAAAAAATAATACTTCCGCCACATACAAGTGCTTAGGTTAAGGCTATCCACATGTTAACACAAAATACTAGAATGTGTACACGTTGTTAACTCATAAGATGCTTAATAAAGCAATTACAAAAATGTAGAAGTTCACACAAGATAGCCAAGTGTGGAATTTATCTTACCAATCCAGCGAACAGACGAGGTCTCAAGCCAAGGGCAGAACAAGGAGCATCTAAAAGGACCCGATCAAAACTATTAGGTGCAAAACCTTGTGACTTTCCAGCCCTTCCACCTTGGCATTGAGTTCTTCCACGACCATTTTTCAACCTTCCTTTATTCTTCCTGATGTCAGCTTGGCTAACATTATCCCCTCCATTTGGCTGTTCAGTGCTGGCTACAATATGGGTGATAATGGGAAAATCAAGCTTCTCCTTAGTTTTTGTGAACCAACCGGAATATATATATTTGAATTTTTTACATATATGCATAGACGTGAGATAATGAGCTACATATGCTAATTTAGTAAAGTTTATGTTATATAATTTTTTTGATGCCAAAGTGATAACTAAGGTCTTTGTCCACAAAGGAGGAAAGACAATGCAGACATGGCAACTTTATTGAGGTACTTTTACCTAGCAAACAAAGAGGCCAACATTTCGAAGAAAACAACCAAACTAAGTAAACACTATGACAGAATAGCTTAATTACCATTTTCCTCACACGGTTTGTCAGCCTCGAATCTTCCAGAAGTAACAGATGCCATCTCCCCATTAGATGATATTTCAGAATGGCTGCTTATGGAACTACTATTTTCAACGTTAACTAATGTTGTGGAATCATTGAGTGTCTTTGGAAGACAAACAGATTTTAGTGCATCCAATTTACATGTTGTTATGCAGCTTAATCCCATCTCCGCAGACAACTTCTGGACATCAAGAACCTACGTTTTGGAAAATGGTAAATAAACTAAATAGAACATGCAATTTTGCAATCCTTAACAAGAAATTTCTTTGTATTGCATTCAATGTAAATTGACAAGCACGTAAACCCCAATAGAAATCATGTATGTTTCAATAAATATTACTTTAATCAGAAGAAACTGTACCTTGTTATGGGATCTATCTGCTGCCACTATCTCTCCCTCATCATTCATAAGTATAGCAATTGCAGTAGTCTTCCCTCCAGGTGCTGCACACATATCTAATATTCTCTCCCCTCTCTGAGGATCTGTGTGCCAAAGATAAGAATCTCGGATTTCATCAGTATTCAATCCTTGTGGGACTCTCATTGATATTTAGGATCGACTGTGTTTGAATTATGAATATATGCAACTATATCATAATAGGGGTTAAGGTGTAAGCATACCACAGGAGAAAAGTAATATTACTTACCAAGAGCATGAGCAACAATAATACTTGGCAGGTTTTGAAGAAATATCTCCCCCTCGAGGACATCTAAGGAGCAGAAACGATAATTTAAAGGCAATGCCCCATGATGAAATAAGATACTGAGAGTCATAAACTGTAAGCTGAAGTGCAAAGTAAACCTAGAGCAAAAGAAGAAGCTTACTATGAAAAGAAGGCAATCTAAAAACTCTATTGCTTAAATCCACCGCAATTCCATGAGGAACACGAAACATCCCAGCCCTTGACAACATAGTTGTTCCCATGCCGATATATAGTCCACTGCGTTCACGGTAATAAGGATCTACAATAACACAACGGCACATGTCAACTGTTTTAGTTAAAAACATTTCACAAGATTTCTAAGTTAGCAACCCTAAAACTTATATAAAAACCATGGAGGAAAAGATTATTGAAGGGAAACCACTCTATAAAATTTGAATGCATTCCACAGAGTAAATTGTTAGATTCTTTTGGCTACTATAAATTGTAAATTATAATTCATATAATAGCACCCTCGATTACTAAACAACCTAACAGGTAGAATTGTACACCTTCATAGAAACTCGTGATAAATAAGACCTATTTTTTGGTTTCAGTTTTTCTAAACAAAGTATTTGTCAATCATATGATAGGTCCATCCAGTTATTATATTGTGACCAAAGCAGAAGAAAAATTATGATTCTTGCCTGTAGGCAGACCCTGGAGGGTGGTCCCACGAGTCATATTAACACTCCAGTCACCTTCATCGCCAGGTTGTTCCATAGCAACACAGACAGCAACTGCATCCCCTTTCTCAACATGGGCAGTGCAAGCCAGTACACCTGGAACATAGACCTACAACAGGACCCATAGTAGATATATAAGTATATCTTTGTTCGCAGTATCGTCTATGGCATGGAGTTTCTCACCTAGATTGTCAAAAACTATAACGAAGGACAACCAAGATAGAAAGGATTCAACTCCAACCCAAGAGCATAGTGACCAGGATAGATGCTTAGGTACTTGTAAATGCCTATCAAACCACTAAAAATTTCTTGAGAGAAACTCGAGTTTACCTGGGCTCCTCTAAGAACTGCTTCAGCACACTTCCTGCTCACTAATACCTCCTTAGGAGGGTTTTCAAGACCAATGTCATATTCAATTCTATGTGGGCCTGAACCATTGACAAAAACAACATAGTCCAAACCAGGTATCTGACACTTGGTGATGGGACTACTTCCATCTGGTTGTATTAGCTTCAAGCCCTCATCCGAATCGTTCAGAAGTTTCGTAAGCTTTTCGATAACCGCATCACTTGTTGTTTTAACTGTGTTCACCCGAATGCAGGAATAGGAAGATGGGCGCCTAATATGGAACATAAACAAAAATATTAGAGTCAAGCAAAATGTAACAACACTTAAAGTAGTGCAGACCAGAACGAGTGTGAGAAATTTTGTCAACAATTTAGTTCCTATGGCAAGAGTAGACTAAAACTGGATCATGTGAAGGAGATGCTAACATTGGGGGAATTTGTATATGCACACAAAAACAACCAATTAAAAAAATTGATTCGATTCAGGAGAAATTAGAAAATAAATAAAGCTAAAAGGCAATGCAAATCCAGGTTTATGCACGTAAAGGAGAGCAATGTTGGTTCAAAACTAGATGAGAATGATGGAAAGGTGCGAAGAACAGTACGTGAGAGCCTTTGAAATGCGAGCAAAGTGGTCAGGTCCATAAGCTTTAGTGAAGTAGTCTTCCACTTCAGGATTCCACCGCAACACCGGGTCATAACAGTAACGCTCCGAATCAGAAGGATCCATCTCTATCTGTTGAGAAATAGAGCGTAACTGAGAAACAGAGGAGGAGAAGAAGGTCGTGGCTCTGGTAAGGCAAGTGGTGAGCAAAGAGGGTTTTAGCAGAACCCTCGCTTTACTCATTCAAGGGGGTAGCAAGCAACGGAGAGCATCTTAAGGTGGAAAGATACCTTTTAGAGCGTTAATGGTGGATGGGCTTTAGGTTGCGAGGATTAAGCCCATCACAGTTATCTACTTGTGTTTATTGACTTGAGGAGTTTTGTACAGTATAAAAATGTCAAAAGAGTTAGGTAGAAGAAACTAAAAAGACGAAAGCTTTGATGATAGTCTTTTCCTACCAAACCCTCCCATTGATGATTAGCTTCAACTGCCTTTTTTTTCTCAATGACTGAACAAATACTCAGCTCCATCCCTCACCAGACCCCTTTTGCTTCTCCTCTCTCAAGGTATCCCTTTCTCATTCTCTCTTTTTCATATTTCACTTTTAGCTTATTCAGTTTTGGTGCTTGCAACTTGCCCGATGGATTCTCTCAAGTTAATTGGAAGTGTAGAATTTAGCTTAGGATGCTCATTCCGCCATCATGAAGTTTTACATTATGTAGACTTTGTGTTCATGTTCTTGGATGAAGTTAAGAACAATCTGGGAGGTTGAAATTAGATTTGTTGCAAGTTCGTAAATCATGGGATTTGTCACATTGGGTCTGGAGTTTAGTAGAATTTCTTGCTAGTGTAGTTTTCTCGTTTGAGATTGTTTTTCATATCCGACCCATTCAAACTGATGGTTTAATTGATCAGATTAGTAAGCTATTGTTGACGTTTAAGAAAGCTGGAGATGTCTCAAGAAGGTGGAATCATTAATGAGCCGGTAATCTCTGCCTTTTTCAGTCTTTCGTAGTCTGTTTTCTTATTCATGATTTAGTCTGTAAACTATCAGTAAAACTTTTGGAATCTGGCATTGTTTACAGGTTGTTATTGGAGAGGAAAAAAGTTCTGTGAGATTGTCTACTCTAAACCGCCCTCGTCAGCTGAATGTCATCTCTCCGGAAGTGGTATTTTAAGATCTTAGATCAGAAGCTAATAAGATTGTCCTCTTCTAGATGCTGAAAGCCGTCTAATGGTAAAATTTTGAAACTCAGGTCCTCAAGCTTGCAGAATACCTCGAACTGTGGGAGAAAGATGACCAAGCAAAGCTTATATTGATCAAGGTTTGATTTTCTTCGGTACTTGATCTGGTGATGATTTTCTACTACTGTAGATTGATTTCCTAACTTAGCTTCTATGTGCAGGGTGCAGGTAGAGCTTTCTCGGCCGGTGGTGATCTTAAGATGTTTTATCACGGCCGGGATTCAAGTAAGACGCTAACAGAATCATCATGTTTTATCAAAAGAACACTTTTGAAGAGATTTTATTATACTTAATGATGATGATATGTCGCTTTTAACAGAGGATTCTTGCCTTGAGGTTGTTTACCGGATGTACTGGCTTTGCTATCATATCCACACATACAAGAAGACACAGGTATAAGTAGTGTTCATTGTATGAAAGTGTCCTCTTGAGAAGTATTTAACTGAACAGAATTGTATAGGTTTCTCTTGTTGATGGAATTTCGATGGGTGGAGGTGCATCCTTGATGGTCCCAATGAAGTTTTCAGTTGTGACAGAGAAAACAGTGAGTTTTAAGTGTAATCTGCTTCACATTTTATTTGGGTAGAACGTCACAGAAACAAGTACAGCTTTAACCATTTCGTTCATTGACAGGTATTCTCAACTCCAGAAGCAAGTATCGGGTTTCACACTGATTGTGGGTTCTCCTACATTCATTCACGTCTTCCTGGTTATTTAGGTAACTACTAACCCCGTATAACCAAATATTGATTCCGGCTAGGTATTGGCTGATCTCTAATGTACTTGTGTTTTGCAGGTGAGTTCTTGGCTTTAACTGGGGCAAGATTAAATGGCAAAGAACTTGTAGCAATTGGAATGGCAACACATTTTGTACCTTCAGTTGTGAGTATTTGAGAATGCTTTCCCCGGATTTGATTGATTCAGGAGATAAATATATCCACAAATGCTATTTAGCTGTCTTGCAACTTTGTAATTATCATCTGTACCTTTAGCAATGTTTTTGGAATCTCTTCCATTATCCTGTAGCTTGAATGCGAACAGAGTCTACAGTTGTTCTAGAAATGATGAGTGAAATGCATATCTTTCACATCTTTTCTTATTGTCAGAAATTGGCGGATCTGGAGGCACAGCTTGTGAGGTTAGACTCAGGAGACGTGAACGTAGTCCGATCCACAATTGAAGAGTTCTCTGAGAAAGTCAACCTCGACAAAGACAGCATCCTTAACAAGTAACAAACTTCTTTTATTGGTTTCTCCATGCCTGAGATGCTGTTTAATATTTTTTCCCCACTGGTATATATACTCATGAAGACGTTATTAACTTTGCAGGCAGTCAGTAATTAATGTGTGTTTCTCAAAAGAAAGTGTGAAGCAGATCATAGAAGCATTTGTAAGTCATTCGATTTTCTGGTAAAAGAAGTCATTCCTGGCTATATTCATCAGTATGAACTATTTCTGGTCCTCTTACAGGAAGCTGAAGCAAGCAAAGAGGGAAATGAGTGGATAACTCCAGTCATCAAAGGTTTAAAACGATCGTCACCCACAGGGTTGAAGATAACCCTACTATCGGTAATTGTTATATGTTACATGATCTCCTCTTTCTCATATGTGTCTCTTGAACTTTCAAGGTGAACAAGACTGCCCTGGCAAATTAATTATATAGTAATAATGGATGTGAAAGTGGTTTAAACTTCTAGCTAATATTGTAAATTGACAAAGTTAAAAGGATTTTAAGCTAATAATAATAAGCAGTAATTCTTGTTATGATCTTCCTTATAGTGATTCTTGTGATGCGTAACTTTTCCAGATCCGTGAAGGTAGAAATCAAACGCTTAGTGAATGCCTGAAGAAAGAGTTTCGTCTCACCGTGAATACCTTAAGGAAAACCATATCCCCTGATATGTATGAGGTAGAAAACAAATGCAAATACTGCAACCAATTTTTGGTTTTGCGTTCTAGGAAATCGTAGCATCATGTAACCTTTACTATATTCTTTTTCTGATCTCTTGTGATAACTTGCAGGGTATAAGGGCTCTGACCATAGACAAAGACAATTCTCCTAAGGTATGTTTCCGCTCTAGGAAGCAAAATACGAGTCTACTTGGAACCTAGATAGCAGCTAACACACTTACAAACTTCTATGATTGGGTTTGGTGCAGTGGAATCCAGCGACACTAGATGAGGTAGATGATGAGAATATCAATTTGATGTTTAAACCCTTGGAGGATGATATTGAGCTTTGTATCCCTGAAACAGAAGAAAATAGGTCGGTGTATAGGAGATAGTAAACCCAACTCTGTAAACTTTTTTTTGAACTGAGTGTTTCCTGAGAAAATAATCCCTTTCTTATGTTTTGGTAATGTGCCATTGCAGGTGGGGAGGCAAATACGAGACTTCAGGCTATGCATCACTGATACAGTATAAAAGAGAAAAGAACTGAGCGTATGTTCAAACTTCAAATTATAAAACTCTATCCCAGAAACTAAAACTTTATTTGTGTTGTATTATTGCAAAATAATGTGTTGCTTGCGACGATAAAATAATGTTTACATATGTAAAACATGAGTCTCCTTGATCTAATCAGAGAGCAGGTGTTTTTACCAATAATAGTTAATAGTCGTTATCATTTTCAAATGATGTCTTCTCCACACAAACAAAACTAAATCAGAAGTTTTATATTACTGTTATGATTAGATAAAGGAAGTCACGTTTAGGTCGTTGAAACAGCCGCGGCCAATTTGGACAGCTCTAAATTTGCCCTTTTTTATCTCTCAGTTTTCTCCTCATTATATATCAATCTTCTGCTTTCTTATAATAATCTTGTGTCTTGACGAAATAAACACGCAACAGAGACAGAGGAGCAAAAAGATGGCCGACTCCCTTTTGCAAAAGGCCACCTCTGCTCTCGGTGAAACAAAAGAAACTGTCCTCGCCTCTGTTGAAACCGCCAAGACCGATGTGGTGAAGGATGCAGTCGACAATGTGGTGTCAAGAAGCATAGATGGAGCCAAATCGCTGGTGCACGGTTTGGAGGAGAAGAAAGGTGAAGTCTCCTCCAAAATCTTGGGAGCTGTTACACACTTTACCGGCAGTGCTGACTCAGCAACCACAACCGCAAACCGTGACTTACCAGTATCCACAGACAATCAGGTTCCATTCAAAACACCAAAAGAAAACTTCAAAATCTTATGCTCTTTTTATACAATTGAATAGGAGACAAGTCTTATGCTCTTTTTTATACAATTGCAGCCACTCCTAGCGACAGGTGATCGTGAGGTCGAGACACCATGGTGGAAGAACTGTTGTGGAGTTCTTGATCTTCTCAAGACATCATCATCATCTACATGAAGACCAACTTCCCTGTGAAGAAAAAGATTCCTCCTAAACTATATTCTGAGTATTTCCTTCCGTTTACTTGAGAGTGAATTCCGATTGTGTCTTCAACTTTTAATTCGTCTTGCTGTTTTTTATAAACTTCTAGTTTTTTTTTTTTCAATCTTTTGATTGTTACCAAAAAGATTTGTAATGAAGACAAAGTAAGCAAACACATAGTAAAGAAGACTCCAAAATTGTGAAACCAATCAAATTCCCAAACATATAACAAGAAAGTTATTGTAGGAAACACTTTTGAAACAAAGAAATCAAATTTCATAAAAGTCTACCTCGAATCAAACCCTCCTCGAGTGGTAAATGTAGCAAACAACAGCAGCTCCGGCTACTGCAAAAGCAACTGCGGCCACAGCTCCACCAGAACCAGTAGTCACAGTCGGTGACCATGACTTAAGCTCAATCCCATCAACTGCCTCAGCCACATTCTTCAATCCACTGATCATCTTTTCAGTATCATCCAACTGCTTATGTAACTCCGCAATCTCTGATTCCATAGCCGCCACTTTCTCCTCAGAGTCTCTTAACGCCTCTTTCACAGCCGTCTTCTCTGTTATCCACTTGTGCAACTCTGCTTTCCCTTTCGCTACATCTGATTCCAAACCCTTAATCTTCTCCTTCAAAGCATCAATCTCCTTATCCTTATTGTCAATCTTCTCTCTCATCTCTTCCTCGGCTCGAAACTTCTTGTTCCTCTCCTCCAACTCCTTAACCTCGAGAGCACCAAGCTTCGTCTCCAATTCCTTCATTCTCTTATCATTCTCCTCCTTTACAGTCCTTAAACCAGCGACCTCCTTCTCCAATTCCTCAATCACATCCCCTTTCTGAGAAATCTCAGACTGAAGCTTCTTGGCCTCGGCCGCAGCATCTTCCCCTTCCGTCTTAGCCGTGATCAGCTCATGCTGCACCCGTGCAACTTCGGTCTCTAACTCGGAAGCTCTGGCAGCTATGGCTTCGAGAACCTTCCTCTCCTCATCAGACTTGTCAATCTCCCTCTCCATCTCACCCATCTTACGCTTGGCCTTAGATTCGGCTGCTCTCAGCTCCTCAATCTCCGCAGTCAAGCTCTCGATTTTCCTACTGATCTCATCGTTATCACGCACGAGTTCCTGATTGTGAGAATCGAGGAGCTCTCCAATCTTTCGATTCAAATCCGTGGACTTGCCGGCATCGTCTTGATGATCAGAATCGAAGAAACTCTCATCCTCCGGGGGAGTCGCGTCGCCGTTCAAGGTCTTCTCGTCCGCCATCTCCAACAGCTGTGATCGGGGAATGGAATCGTAGGAGGAGAGTGATAAACCCTACAGATGCTCGCTGGATAGGATAAAACACACACAACTAATTATAAAACAAGGACCGGAAAGTTTCGACTTTCCTACTTTACTCTCAGAAAAGAAAGAAAATAAAGTTTCGATTTTTATGATTCTCGTTAAAAAAACCTTTCTGAGATTCGATGCGATTAGGGTTTTGGGTTACCACGACAAACCAACGCTAACCGAACAAGTCTGATCTGCTTACGTAAATGTTGGACGGCTGGAAAATAAAAAAGAATCGGTCCGAGTTGGTAAAAAGGCAATGATTTGGAGAACACGTGCGTACCACTTTGATACTATCTTTTTAGAAAAGGCCCATAAAAACAATTAAAAAGGTCCTGATTTGGGCTTCTAGAGGCTTTTTATTGAAAATTCAATCAAGAGCCCCTTCGGCTAAACATCAATAATGATCTTGCCCGTTCATTGGTGGGCTAACATGAAAAATCCACGTAAAATATATAGAGGTGTACTGCAAATAGATCAGATTTTCATCAATCAAGATTAGAGAGTATCGTTTCAATCACTAGGATAAGAATCTCTCTCAAACTCAAACCTACAGTTTTAATTTCCAGACCAAGTGCTTATGGGGAATCAGAATCAGATGCTCTTTAATTATGAGTTTTGATCGTAGCAACTTTACTTACCAACATCACTGATCTTCTCCTTAATTAATTAAGCGCCTCCTACTCCTTAGAGCAACTTTATCGCCGTAATCGTTCGAGTGTTAACACATTAAAAAAAACCAAAATATTAAAACAGTGCAAACGTAAGAGGTATTCGAGTGTTCGATAAGATCTTTTGAAGCAAGGTTCTTCTGCCAGCTGTGAAAACGTGAGTGGTAGATGAAAAGGAGAGAGAAAGCAAAGGAAAAACATAGAGATAATTAATTAGTTAAATTTATATTTGATAAGAAATGCTTAAAAATATTTTGTGAAATGTTTATAAACTTTTTGTTCATTTCATAAAATGTTTTGTATTTCATTTTTATGTTTGAATCTTAAATTTCTAATTTTTATCGAAATTGTTAAATATATGTTATAAATAATATTTAGTTGTATTATCTTTTTATTTTTATTTTCTAATATGTTTTATGTTAACTTATATAAGTTTTCAAATTTTAAATTATTCAATTAGTTTTAAATATTATTAATATGTTTAATATATTTTATTATTATAAATATAAGAACCTAAAAGTTCAACCAATACTTGCCTATTTTTGTGTGGTTCTTAAAAAACACTATTACATTATTAATATGTTAAAAATACACTAAGATGCATGTTTGGGGTTATGCCTTTGCGGATGCTCTTAGTAAGCATTATTACCGTACGTCACAAATATCTAGGCCACATGTCTTATCAGAGTTAGGCACAGTACAAAACATGATGAGAACAAGATAATTAATATATATATATAGTCCCATGGTTTAAATAATTTCAGTCACAAAACAAAATCTCTATTCAAATTTTCTTGATATATTTAACAAAGAGAACTCTCTCTATTCAGAAAATATTTGCCTTATCCAGAAACTGTGACACCTGAGAATTACAAACATGATTTTGTTATAAATCTGTTATATTAATCAATGTTACAAAATTGAATTCGAGCAGTTGATTGTTATCTTGAAATGATGGGGTTGTTAAATGTTATAAATTGTGTGGTGGTTGTGAAAACTCTATATATACTTGAGCCTCAAAAAGCATAAAGCGCATGATATAAGTACGTGGAAAAGGCCACAAAAATATGAAAAATGGTTTGGGGGAAGTACTTAAGCAAAACATTCAATGAAAATGGCATGCTCTTAACTACCCTCACCCCTATTATATTTGTTTTTCAGCAACATTTTAATTTGCATGCACGTTTCTCCTCTATTAGATTCTTTCTTCAATATATTTATTATTTATTTTATTGCTTCAAGCAACACACACACAAAAACAATAAAAAATAATAATAATAATAATAATTGAGCTTCAAAATAATAAATGGAAAATATAATTATAGTCAATATGCATATTCTCGTTAGTCACCTACCCGACCAGTCTCACTAAGATTGTTGCCTACTGCTCCATGAGGGGACTCTGTTTTCTCGTTTTTGTATTGGGCGGCAAAAACTTTTCAAAAAGTCGTTGATTTTGAACCAATTAGTAATGCATTTTGTTTTTATGGTTTTAACATCTGCTTTGAATGACTATCTAGCTAGTTTGTCAAACCTTTCGAGTTGTGTATATGTAATATGTGTGTCTGTAAATGATAGTGTGTTCTAACTGTTGTTAAGTTCCATGTATTGGTTGATGTCCCAAGTCGTGTTCCATTGGCAGTATTGATGACCAATCTTCAATTTGCAACAATTTAATTTCGTTTTTTTGGTTTTCTCTGGTCATTATTAACTCAACCGGGTCAAAAAAAGAGTTGACTAAATTACGCAACAATAATATTAGTGAAACTGTTGTCAAAAAATAAAGATAAAAAAAATATTAGTGAAACTCATATTTGTATTCTTTTATAATCTCTAACTCTATTTCGGTATGGAAAACACCTTTTGCACAAAACCAACCGAATTGATTAAACCTACATTATATTGGATCTCACTTACATCTTTGAATAAATAGCAACTTTTTTTTGTTGATAATATTATATACGTGATATTGAGGAAGACGCATATGGAGATTAGCCCTGGGCACGAAGCGAATATTCGGAAAATTTGTGATATTTGTTATTTGTTTCGCTTCGATCGAATAGTTGATTTTGCTATTTGCTTCGATTCGTAAATTTTCGAGTATTCGGAACTTCGAATATTCGAATATTTTTCGTAATATTTGCGAATTACTTACTTCGCTTCGCTTCGACCCATCTAATTTTTTTTTAAAAAAAAAAACATATAGTACAGAAATATAAAGTGCAAAATATGAAATATTAGAGGTTTTAATTTGACATATTTTCAAAATAAGAAAGAAATGTAACCACCGTTCATAGAATTCTCACATTTTATTTTTAATAATGATTTTTCTAGTAAAGTTTTATTTGCTTAAAAACAACATTTAGCAAAAAAAAAAAAAAAACCCAACGAGCCAAAATATAATAATTTGAATAATAGGCCTATCAGATATATACCCAAATCTATAAATACACCTATTATATATATTATATGTATTATATAATAATTTATATTTATACATATATATAAATATACGAAGCGAAGCGGATATTCGCCACTAAAAAAATCAATATTTGTTATTTGCTTCGGTTTTTACGAGTACTAGATTTTCATATTTGCTTCGGTTTAATATCTTATAGATATTTGAATTTTTCGAATCGAATCGAAACGAATATCGAAGCGAAGCGAATCTAACGAATATTTTGCCCAGGGCTAATGGAGATGCTTTTTGTTAGTAGACGCGGATTTAACCCTAAAGATTATAGTCATAGAGTATTGAACAAAAATTAATCAAATAGCTAGAGAGTTTGTTTTTTTAAGTTAGTCTATCTTATTTTAGTATTTTTTTTTTGGTAAGGTACTACATTTTTTGGGTAAAGTCTATCTTATTTTAGTTTGTTGTGAATTATATAAATCTTGACGGTATATAGCATGCATGTAAATCTATGCACGTCGGTGCATGTCTTCAAAGACTTAATGGTGTTGACTTTTACGTGATATAGGATCTAGCTAATCTCAGCTACGGGGTTTAACGTGACTAACTGATTATTTTGTACTAGTATAATACTGAAAATAGAAACAAAATCCCGTGCAATACTATCGATTTGGATTATTTGATATTGTAAATTCGTTTAATTTGTCTTATTTGTTCGTAGTTATTGTTTATTGTCTTTTTTTGTCTTATTAATGTAAGTAAAGACAATATATAGCCAAAGCGGTAGTAATAGTATATTCATAAGTAGGAAGAATCAAAACCGAGACAGTCCAAAACAAATGCCACAAATAGGAAACACATTAAAGAGGTATGGATCGACGTGATTATTATAAACTAAAATATTCGTTACGTGTACGCGTAGACGAAAACGTACGTACGACTCTCTCTCTTTTTTTTTTCTCCTTTTTTTTTTTTTTTAAGGATATCCACTTGAGTCTTGACCACTTTTATAGTTCTATGATGCAATAATCCAGTTAGTGTTATGTGACTAAGTTAGTATGTCTCCGACTATACTTAGATTTTAGGTTTTGTTGCGTATAACACTGACGAACGACTTGATTGTAAGCAAATTAACGTACGTACGCTTTTTGGCGTAATATATATGATGATCTCTGATTTGAGTTTTTTTCTTTTTTTTTTTTTTTTTTTTTTCGTTAAAGGGTAGTTTTTTTTTTCTTCTTTCTTCTTTCTTCATTAACTATCATCTTTTCTAATCACGATATACATAATAAACTTTTTCCATCATCTGATTATCTTTTTACCCTTTTTTAAAAGATCTTATGACAAATTTTACCAAAATATACATATAAAAGAATTGGTCATGCACCAGCATTATTAATATTCGTAACCACTCGTATACGTTAATTTGTTGTCGCAATTCTAAGTACATTTGCAAGATTTTAGATTGAATGTGGCAAAATAAATGTTTTAGGAAAGTGGACTTTAAGAGTTTATATGTTGGCCTTACCGGCCGAAATAACGTGGAAGAAACCTAAAAAGTGTAGAAAAAAGAAGAGAATAAATTGGATATGATAGTAATTAATTACGAGGAAAATAGTGACCAGAAGAAGAGAAAGTCAACGGAAAAATTGGAAAGTTGGTAGAATGAAACCTGACAACGCAGAGAGAGACTCACACGAGGACGCAAGTTTCAAAGCAAACCAAATACTTGTATGTTGAATTGTTCATCAAAACAAGTTTTGAGTTCATGATTATGTGTATGCATCAGCTCTCCCGGTTCACATTTCTCTATGCCTTCATCAATTTTCATTTACTCTTATGCCTGCAGGGTCATTTATTTGCTTGACTTCTGCTTCTCCTATTCATATGAACACGTCGACACTACTGATATCATAAATATAGCCATGATCAGGTTCAGCAGACTGGTTAAGGGTGTCGAAGCATGGATTGCATGGTTTATAATAATATGGTTGTAATATGTATAAGTATACAAAAATTTCTAATTTAAATCAACTTTGACAACTGTTGGTGTCAAACTTTATCGACGTGTGCAAGGGATAAGAAACAAATAAAAAGCGATAAACATCAAACTTTCCGAATCAAACAAGAGTTTGCAGTACAATGGAAAGATTTAATGATGTTTGGTTGTGTTTGATATGATTGCCGACATACGATGATATATGTTAAATATTTTCTGTTGACGATCGATATGTTGGTAATTAAATTTTAATCCAAAATTTATCGTCTTGCATGCTGTTCATATATTTCATTTAAGTTTTTGGTCCAATTATTTAGCGAAAGTAATGAGACATGTATAGGTAAGGTTGGACTAATTGTGATTTTAGTTTGGACTGTACTTGCATGAAATATATATTATGACATGCATTAGTAGTTGTCGTTGGCTATAAGATATGGAGTTCGGCAGTGACTTGTCTCATTTATTCGTAAATGTCATGTCTGTTGGCTATAATCATCAATTCCCTTGTACCAGAAAATAAAACCTTGGATTTGTAATTAGTTGATGTCAAAAAAAAAAAAAAAACCAAGCTGGTTAATTTTCAAGACATGCATGTATTTGCTTTAGTAATTTCTATGCATCAACATACTGTATGTTATTTTTTCAACAAAATCATAATTTTAAAAGGAAGAAAAAAACACTACATTTTGAAAAGTAGGCAAATTTGTTATTGAAAAAAGAAAAAAAAGAAAAAGAAGGGCCGGTAACCAACTGCATAACCTAACTTGTAATATCTTGAGGAGTTGGCAGAAAACAAAAGTGGTAACCTTTGAAACTTAGGGTGTGGGGGGAAAACAAATCATAACATACGCGTTAACAATACTGGTCGCAATCGTGTTCACATATAATGTTATGTTCTTGAAGACATTTGGTTAGTTTCGAGATATTTCATATACATATTGATCGATCTATAATATTATTAGTTGTATATCCTGCGATTAGGTTTACTTTTAATCCACTATGAAAATATATGTATGGATAACGGTTGACTACTTGAGACTGCGTTATGGTACCTTTTTATTCATAAAAGAGTATACTATATATGGTGGTAAAAGAGGACGTTTTATCTTAAAGATAGTGGCAAAAAACTTGTTTCTTTTTGGATTTCTGATAACCTATATAGCTCAATTTGAATGATTGTATAGTGTAATAGATTAGTATGGTTGACATGATTTCGTATGTTGACCGTTGGATCGAGTTTTTTGTTTTTGTTCTTTTCCTATAAAAGCGTTTAAGATGTTACATAATTGAATGGATTTCCTAACCTACTTCCTCTCTCTCTCTCTATATAGATATTTAAAATCATATTATTTTTGTGTGATAATAAGAAGTAAAATTCTTAAACAAAAAGCTTAAACGCACTAGATAAACTAACCTAATTTTAGAGAAATACTACAATGGAGACTCTTAAGATTTCACTTTTTGGTGGCCTTTGGGAAATGCTTTTTTTTTTTTTTTTTTTTGCGAACACATGCATGCTGCACCCAAAGCCTCCAAGTGGAGCTGATAAGATAAAGCAACGCAACATTCAACAGTTTTATTAATTAAAAGCGGCCAACTTGCTTTATTCACATCATAATACTACAAAGTGTACTGCGTCGGATAATATTTATGCGTATAAAGTGTGTATTGTTTCGTTCATTATGTGATACTACTATCTTGATTTTCTTTAGTATGCAAAATAGATCAACCATAACTTCTTGGGAACAAACACACACACGTATTCTAATTTCAACTTTTAAATAAAGGAAAAAAAAACATAAACGTTATTGTGGCATACAGTTAATGCGAGGTGTGTGGGTTAACCAAATTATATATAAAAAAAAGTTCATAACAACAAAAACAAAGGGTCAAACTTCACACCACCTTTGCACTCGCCTATCATCATCACTGACTATATAAATCTCCTCTGCAGCCCTCTTTGTCTTCTCCAGCACATCAACTCTTGTATTTCTCTTTCTCTAAGCCATAGCTATGGTTTTACCAGAGCTTCTAGTGATCCTAGCAGAATGGGTTCTTTACCGTCTCCTTGCTAATTCATGTTACAGAGCTGCTAGAAAGCTAAGAGGCTATGGTTTCCAATTGAAAAATCTCCTAAACCTCTCCAAAGCACAATCTCCACACAACACTTCTCATCATCAACAACAACAGCAAAATCAACCAAACCAGCACCTTCAAGATTCTCTCTTCCCAAGCATTACAAAGTACCAAGAGTTCTTAGACAAAAGCAGAGCATGCTCTGTTTCTTCTGATCATCTTGACACCTTTGTCTGCGACATCGATGGTGTTTTATTAAGACAGCACTCGAGTAAACACTTCCACACGTTCTTCCCTTACTTCATGCTCGTAGCCTTCGAAGGAGGATCAATTATCAGAGCGATCCTTCTCTTGCTCTCTTGTTCTTTCCTCTGGGCCCTGCAACGAGAAACCAAACTCAAAGTTCTCTCTTTCATAACCTTCTCCGGTCTTAGAGTTAAAGACATGGATAACGTTTCTAGATCGGTTCTACCCAAGTTCTTCCTTGAGAACTTGAATCTCCAGGTTTACGACATCTGGACTCGAACTGAGTACTCTAAAGTCGTGTTCACGAGCTTGCCACAAGTGATTGTGGAGAGGTTCCTGAGAGAACACCTCAACGCTGATGATGTGATTGGGACGAAACTCCAAGAAATAGAAGTCATGGGGAGAAGATTCTATACCGGCTTAGCTTCAGGGTCTGGTTTCGTGGTGAAACATAAATCTGCTAAAGACTACTTCATTCATGACAAGAAGAAGCCAACACTTGGAATTGGAAGCTTTTCAAGCCTACATGATCACATCTTCATCTCCATTTGCAAAGTAAATATCTTCCCTTACCCTTTTTAACAAAAATAGATTTAAAGTTATTAACTTTCAGTATTGTTTAAGTCTCCCACAATATCACGTCTTCTTTTTTCTATTTTCTTTACTTGCCAATTTCACAAAAGTTGATATTAAATTCATTCTGAATTTCCCCTACAGGAAGCTTATCTTTGGAATGAAGAAGAGTCCATGAACAAGGACAACACATTGCCTAGAGAAAGATACCCAAAGCCATTGATATTCCATGACGGGAGATTAGCTTTCTTGCCAACACCATTGGCTACGTTAGCTATGTTCATATGGCTACCTATCGGATTCTTCCTCGCTGTCTTCAGGATCTCGATAGGAGTCTTGCTTCCTTACCACGTAGCCAATTTCTTGGCTTCTTTGTCTGGTGTAAGGATCACTTTCAAGAGCCATAATTTGTACAACGGTCCTCCAGAGAAAAGTAAAAGTGGTGTCTTGTATGTATGCAACCATAGGACCCTCCTTGACCCAGTTTTCCTCACCACTTCGCTTGGCAAGCCCTTGACCGCGGTCACTTACAGCCTAAGCAAGTTCTCAGAGCTGATAGCGCCTCTCAAGACGGTCAGCCTTAAAAGAGACAGGAAGAAAGACGGTGAGGCAATGCAGAGACTACTAAGCAAAGGAGACCTAGTGGTTTGTCCAGAAGGAACCACTTGTAGAGAGCCTTATTTACTAAGATTCAGTCCTTTGTTTGCTGAGCTAACCGAAGACATTGTTCCCGTGGCTGTGGATGCTCGAGTGAGCATGTTCTATGGGACAACCGCTAGCGGGCTCAAGTGTTTAGACCCTATCTTCTTCCTCATGAACCCTAGGCCTGTTTATTGTCTTGAGGTTCTGAAGAAGTTGCCAAAAGAGATGACTTGTGCAGGAGGTAAGTCAAGCTTTGAAGTTGCGAATTTCATACAGGGAGAACTTGCTAGGGTTTTGGGATTTGAATGCACCAATCTCACAAGGAAGGATAAGTATTTGGTTCTTGCTGGAAATGAAGGCATTGTCAGATAGATAATCCGAATTTTCATTAGGTTTTTTTTTTGTGTTTGTTAAAAAGGTTAAATATTTTTCAGGACTTAGATGTTTAATTCTATATGGTTGATTCGTTGGTATCATTTCTATTTCTTATTTCTTGGGACTATTATCTGAAATGCTTGCTTTATATGATTTTGTTTCTGGATTCGTGTAGTCCATAATCTCAACCTATTGCTTTAATGCCATAAATTTTATTACTAGAACGAACGAAATAATTTCATAGTTAGTTGAAATCAATATTAAATGTAAACATGTAATAATAGTATATTCTTTAGGTAAGGAAGATATGTCATGAATGTTCATGCTTCTAAATTTATATATCACACATCAAATAATCATCATCCCATATCACACAACATCAACGTGAACGCCCATATTAATTTCATATCACATCAAAATTTAATGTATCACCTCTGAAGATATTAATATTCACACCAAGAAAAGGACTATATACCTGTCTAAACAGAAATGTTAAAGAAATACTAAATGAACTGTTCATACCAAGAATGGTTTCGTCTCACACCGCTGGTTTCACTTCACTGAAATTGGAGTGAAGATCTTGATATGAACTAAGTAATGCTTGGAAGCACTAACTGAGGTTTTCCTCTTTGCAAATGATATTTGCTATTCTACACAAGCAAAACAAAACTTAATGGACTAAGTAATGCTGCAGTGATTAGAAGTAATACTTAGTGATATTTTGAATGTATTACCTTTCCCTCACATGACGAAACTCATCAAGAATTTCTGCAGTCTGCTGAACCTTTAGATTATTGGGTTTATCTTCACGATTAAGCACTAATGACGCAACATTTACAACAGTGACCAGTTCATCTTCAATTCTGCTAAGTTTCTTGTCTAAACTGTCCAAGAAAGATTCATATGAAGACATTTCTCTAAGGGTGCTACCAGTTGAAACATCTTCTAGTGCATGATTATCGGTATCGAGGAGTGCTTGGTAATCCTCAATATTCCTTTGATTAAGTTGACTTTCCTCAGAATCCAAGTGAGTATGGTCATTTTTGTGCTCGTCTTCAGTCGATTTGGGGGTTGGCGATACAATGTGGATTCCACCTGAAGTACTCTCTTCATCCTCTTTGAGATCCAAAGATATGTTTCCTATCAGCTGTGTTTCCTTGACAGATATTGCCTGAAACCAAACCAAAGCTTTTAAAGACATGGTTAAACGATTTCTCTGACAATTGAAAACAAAACAACAACCAAAACTATAACATTTTCTAACCATTTACAGTCTTTCTGACTTTAAGATTCGTTGAGTCTTTCTCAAACAAGTTATACACTAGTGGACTAGGATTGCTGAGATAACAAGTAAGAACTCGTACGTTTCTACCTCGTTAAGTTTAGAAGAAAGCGTATCGAGCAACTCAATACGAGTTTTAGCCTTGTCCAAAGCTTGCATAACTTTTTTCTTCTGAAGAAGCAACTCTCTGGCATCATTCTCTTTCCCTGTTTGAACATTCACAGCTGCTTGTTTCCGTAGATTCTCAGCAGCCTCAGATAATCTTAGAAGTCTCAACCTATTACTGTTTGCTGGACCAACACCAACAACGACAACAACAACAGCAAAAGAACAAAATGTCAAAATTGACATCAATCAGTCATTGAATTAGCAAACAAAAGAACAATGCGAAAAATCCACATTCATTCAAAATTCGTAGAACGCAAAAAGAGGTGAGGTGATTAAATTCGGTATCTGAAGACAGCAAACAACGATTGACACACTCCACTCAATCCAATCAAAACGAAGATTAGCAAATAAAGATTCGACCTTTGGCACGAGTGGACTCTGCCTCTTCGTGAAGCCGATCGAGCTGGGAGCGAAGAAGGTCAGAATTTGCGGTAGCAGAGAAGCATCTGGGGCTCTTCGAAATTCGCCGAAACCGAGAAACCACCACCGGAGCTCCGCCGAGACTCGTCGTCACCATCTTTGGCCTTCTTATTAGTTCTTACAAAGCAGAAGCACACACACGCGCGTGGATTGGAGAATAAAGTTGAATAACAGTACTCTTGTAAACCCGGTTAGTTCCACAAACCGATATTGAATGCCTGGTTACTCTAAACCGGTATGAAGAAACAAATCTGTCAGAGACTGTTACTTTGACGTCTCCGTCCAATTTTGATTTTTTCTCTTGGACACTTCAAAATCTGAAGTTCAGACCATAGATCGAGAACCTGCTGGTGCTTTGTAATCTCGTTGTCTGTAGGATTTTGCCGGGTAAATTTTGAATCTTGGATCGGGTGTTTTCGTAATTGTAGTATTTGTAGCATCTCTACCGCTTCTTACTGGTAGGAATCGATCAGATATGAACTGGGTTCAACGCAAAATCTACCTTTACAATGTCACCTTCGGGCTCTACATGCTTGATTGGTGGGAACGATACCTCTTCAGTATCCTTTTCTCCTAACTCTCTCTCACTCTCGCTCTCATATTCATGCTTGATGCGTTTATCTTTAATCGATCTGGTCTTCTGATTGAATTGAGATTTACTCTTCATTAGAAAAGATTCAAGTTTTAATCTTTACTTCGTTAGTGACAATACGGTGGAACTGAATTATCTTCTCTTGTGTTGTCGTCTAACGCAATGTGTCTGTTCAATCTTAGAATTTTGTTTTAAATCATAGTTTCTACTGAATAGTAGACTTTTAATTGAGATCAAGTTGATAACTGTTATACTCTCTCTGGTTGAAAGACCTGTTCGAGGGGGGCAATGTTAGATTTTTTGGTAATTTACAAGGACATAAGATCTCTGCTTGCATCTTGTTTGCCTTTCCTCAACTTTTTTCAGATTCTTTGGTTGTAGTCTTGATGTGGTTCGTTATATACAACGGTACACGCTACTTTTCCGAGCTCTTCCAGAGGTAAACTAAACTTCATCATCTTTGTGCACACCTTTAGGTTGTTAAGTATTGTTTGGCCTTAACCTTGCTATTCTCGTAACAATTTCTAGTATGAGCTTTTCTATCTAATTCTCTTTGCTAGCATGTTATTGTGGTTACAGTGGTGGGCCTCTAAAACAATATGTTTTGTGGCGTCAACTTCACGGATTCTCATAATTTGTAGGTCATGTTTTCCTAGGATTTTTGCAAAACAAAAAGAATAAAAGTGTAGCATTTTCTTAGACATTGTCATACCTTATCTTGTGCATTTAGTTGGGGTAGAGATGCATACGTCAGACCATCTGCTTGATCCTCCCCATAAGTTGAGGAAATTGAAAATAGGGAAGTATATAGTTTGCCTGATGAATTGACTGCCGCTTGCTATTTGAATCTTTCTTAGGCTGTTTTGAGAAGCATTTGAAGCTCTATCCTGATAATTTTCTATTTACACTCACAGCATATTTACTTCTTTTCAATTCCTCGCATTGCAGGCATTTGACATGAAAACATGTTTTGTTTCTGGCACGGTAGAGCATGAAAAGCCTGGAAACTCCAAAGGCATGCTCGTTTGGTTTCAGTACCAACCATAAACCTCCTTTTCGGCTACTCCTCTGGTTTTGTTAATTTTCCTCCAAAGGCTAGGACCACTCGTATATCATTTGTTCCCATGATTTTGGAATCAACAGAGCGTATTTATAAACTCATAAGATCGTAAGTCTTTCTGTTGTATTTCCAAATCACTTTGAGACTTGACCAAAGCAATACTACAGTGGTTGTGGTGTCTTATGACCCAGTGAATACTTTTCCAACAGTACAGAAAGTGATTCATCCTTTAGATTACAAACATAGTAAATATAGTTGCAGGCGTTAAAGAACTTGCACATTACAAATAAAAGATGGATGCTGTAATTTAGAGAGGGAACTCTGTTCTAAACCTATAAAACAATTTAGGAAGAATCAGTAACCCAATCCTTCGGCGGTGAAGAGTTGAAGATTTGAAACAGTAGGGCTTGATCTCTCTTGTCTATTTTTTTGGAACCAAATCCTTGATGCTGACCAAGTTCAATAGCTTCCCTTCCTTCTTCCGCTATTCTTTTCCTAATAGCTACCAAAGAATTTTGCTTCTCAGAAGCTGCTTCGTCCTTGACATCTCCATCTTCAGTATTCTCTCCTCCTCCATCTTCGTGTCCGCCTTTCTCTGGCCTTCCCCACCATTTGTTTGACACAGTTGTTAAACCGCCTGATGGGAATCCAGATTTGAACTCATCTAATGCTGCCATTGTCTTAGCCATATTAGCGTTAGCCCATACATTGGACTTTCCACTCTTGTTTCCACTATGTTGTACCGCCGTCGAATGCATCATTGTCTTCGGTTTTGGATGATGTCAGGAACCACTGTAATGAAGAGCAACATGAATTAGAGGGAAAGAATAAGGATACAAGTAATCATCACCACTTTTCACCATTAGCTAATCTGGGGATCAAAACCAGCAACAGATCAAGAAGAAGACTTAAAACAAAACCGCATAGAAAAAAGGTTTGTAATCTCAGAAGCACGAAGACACATTACAGTAACGTTGCTGATTCTATGAACTAGAATCAGAGACGTAGAGACTAAACTTAACGCTTCCTGAGATCAAATCTGTAAGGCACCAGATCTGAAATCAGCCTGTCCACCACAATGGTTCCCTAACACAAACGGTTGTGGGTTTCAGAAAAGGCCAGAGCTTTTCCAATTCTCAATCATTACAAACCCAATGATGGCATTAAAACCCTAATTTGATAATTTCCATACTACAGCATTGAAGATCAATTTTGTCTTTTCCAGAATTACACGATGCAGGCGCCTACCTAAGGCGTGAACAGCGAAAAACAAACAATCCAAGAAAGAATTTAAAAAAGCCGAGAGCTTTTACTTTGCTAGAAAAAACAGAGAGCTTTTACTTTGCTCGAACTATCAAGTACAAAACATTTGGTATAGAAAATAATCGCCAGATTTTTACATACCAAGAAGGAAGGAGGATTCGTTGGAGCTTCGTTTCGACTATATGGATTTTGTTTACTTTCTCAGCGCTCTTCTTCAACAGTTGGCTTTGACTGTATGTAATAGATGCTTTAGAACAGAGCAAGGTTAAAAATGTAATTTCGCACTGAACTGGATATATTTTTGTTGTCGCTTTGGAAACTTCTTTTGTTACGCGGACAGATTAATGGTTAAAAGCTTTTTGTATCATGTTTATGTCCAAAGGAATTGTGTCAGACTTTTAGTATACACCTACTTGAACAAATGGCCTAGGCTGAACAACAACATTTACTCATCTGAGGTCATATCTCTCAGGTGGGCTTAACTTCTTTTCTATGAACGATTAATTTAAACATCAATAACAGATAAAAAAGAATGGAGATGAAAGAAAGAAAAATGGAGGAGAAGACGAAAAGAGCGGTTGAGCCACTACTTGGTGGAAGGCGTCTCTTTGTCTTTCTTTCCAGCGAGGATCATAGAGATCTGCAGACCGCGACTAAAGGCTTGATTAAACAACAATCTGGTCTGGAACTCAGACACAAATGGGAACCACGACAAGACCGCAATGGGTGTGAATATCAGAAGCCCCATTATGTACTCGTAAGCTCTCCCTAGCTCTTTAATCGAGTCCCAGAATCCTAATCCTTTGAACACGCTACGCAGCGCTTGCCCGATCTTCAAAAACATAGCAACGGAATAACTTACTTATTTATTCTAGTGATAAACAGATTACGATTGGGCAGCTACGGAATTTGTGTGTACTTACAAGAAGAAGAGCCCAACCAGTAGGCAAGAAAGCGAGGATGGAAGCAAAGAGATCTGCGATTGTGAGGCCGCAAACTACAAATAGTACAGTCATGACTGACAAGAAACCAAGGAAGAGAAGCGCCTTGAGAATTCTGAACATAACCTGAAAATCTGTACCAAATTTCCGTCTACCCATTGATACCATCTGTCAAATTGTTAAACAACACAATCATCAATGTGGAAAAATAGATAAGCCATTGCTCTAAAACCATCAAATACACTTGGCTGAAAGTTTTCTTATTCGGAAGTGGGTGAGAAAGCGCAAAAAGATTTGTTTTTGAGCCTTACCTTTAACACGAGAAGAACTGCCAGCAAGACAGCCCAAGAGAGTCCATAAACCTTAAAAGAAGAAAAGTACGACGTTGTTGGGGTTTTCAAAGCTAGAAAAGGGAGCCATCAAAGCTTATGCAAAAAGAGAGATTACTATACCAGAAATGTTGTGTGCCGGTGAGAGATGTTGAGATGGTAGACAATACCATACTGGTAAAGGAGGAAACGCAGTGCTAGAAGTATCTCCAGTACCCTTCCTCTTAAATTTGTGTGCTTCAGGTGTTCTTGCTCTATATCCCACCATGATTCCCAACTTTTGTCAAGAACTATTCCAATTCCACCACGGTTTCCCATCCATCGTTTCCAGTCAGTCCAATCGTCCACCGTCTTCTGCCACTCAAACCCAGATGGATTGAATATAAATGGAGCAAACAACCAAGAAGTCACCAGGAACCACATTGAAAATGTAATGTAAATGTAAAGACTAGAGCTACGATATGAACTTCCATAAACTTGATACACAATTAGTAGTATGACCAGCTCAAGTCCCTTAACAAAGTGGCTTCGCGAGTATAGTCTGTAGTTTTCCGCAAACTTAGCATGGAAAACAACAAACCCTCGACCAGTTGCTCGGTACTTAGAGCCTCCATGCAAAATCGTCCTTCCAAAGTAATGCGCTTTTGTTCCCAGCTGAAACGTGAAGAAAACAGACGCAAGCTGAAGCTGCATTATGATGAAATCACCCAAGGCTGTTCGAAACCCTTTTTCTAGGCCAATTTCCATAACCATTGGTAGAACCATCAAAAAACCTAGCTGGAAAACAGATTGGGCTGCTAATGCCTCCTCGAGGGCTTTGGACTGATGTACAACTGCACTTTGCAGGATCTCTTTCTCCAATCCGCTCAATACCAGATAAAGACGTCCATAGAGGAACACATATACTGTGAGCACCGTTATCTGAAATAGAAAAGATATGTTTTTTACTTCTTGAAAAATACAAGATTCTTACTGTAAGTGTAGGGCAGAGTTACAAGAAGAAAGAACCATTTGAATGAGTAATTAGCATACCATGCTACTGAAATAGAAACCAACTGTGGTGAAGTAAAATGAGAGCATCCTGTAAAAATCAAACCGGCGTCCAAGTCGATAAACGTCACGACTTAGTGTTTGTTCTCCATTACCATTTGCAACTTTGGCTTCAAAAAACGAAATCTGATTCATCCCTACATCACGCCCTTTCCCTGCTTGAATATACTCGTGATGTGTGATGTAACCCCCACGAAGAGTTGAATTGTACCCTGGATGTTACCATGATTAGCAATCACAAATATACAAGAAAATAACGTTTGTCAAGAGCGTTCTCTACCTGCAAAGATATCTTCGCTTAAGTTTATTATCTTTGACGCCTTGCTAATGCCTCCCCTTGTGATGTGGAAGATTCTATCAAATATATCAGGATGGCCATAATGGAAACGCACCCTGTAAAAGAATCGTGAGTAAGTTTCCAAAGAATCCAAGCTAGTCTTCTTTCCAAAACGAAAAAAATCTAACTCTAAGATAATCAATTAGGTTTGATGATGCAGGGACTGCTACTTTTAAAGTCAGATTTGAAGCTACAAGGAATTGGAAGAATACTTTCCCTAGTCACAAGATATGAGAATACCTAAGAGGATTTGCTAGAACACGTTGACCAATGGTTACAAAACTTGTTTCTTGATTCGACATGAACCAAGCAAGTGATGAAACACTGCAGGGTCAAAAAGGAGTCAGACGAGAAAGATATTTAGTACCAAAATTAGGAGACATGAGCAATAAAAATCAAGAACAACCGAACGTATGAAGAATCTCAGACCTTCCAGTAAATATGTGTTCACGAAGACCCAAAATTGTAGGATTTCTCTTGCCACGTCGACCTTCATCAAATTCTTGTAGCACATTTCTCATTTTGAAAGACTCTTCAAAGTAGTTGTCCTAAATTGGAAACAGGGAATGAGAATGTAGTTGGAATCAACAATATGGTTGAGGGATAGAGAGACGAAAGCTACCTGGTTCATGTCTATGGTCTGGAGTGCTTCACCGCGAGTGAAAATAATTGCATGGTTTTGATTCTCGGGTTTTCCTTCGCCAATTTCAGTGGGAGGGCCGGGAAGTTTGATACGATAAATTTCCTAATAAATCAAGATCAAATTTCATGACAAATAGGGTTACTTTATCCGGGACCTATGTGTGACTGGCAACAAAAAAGAATATATTGTGATCTAAACCAGGTACGCAAGACGTGGATTATATATGTATTAAATTGCCTTTGCATACCTCATCTAATTTGTCACATCCTTTGAGCAGCACAGAGTAGAACACTTTCTGTGATTTCCCATTAATTGTCTCCTCCCTTTCATCTATATAGGCAACACGCAAGGACGGATACCTAACCATAATGTATGATTAAACTAAGCTAGAACAGAAAGCATGATTTTTTTCTTTTTTTTTCAAAGATGAGAACTTTCTTACTTTAGCATGAGCTGTAAAATGTTATTGTAACAACTCCGGTCCCGACTTTCACTTGACTTTTTCTGGTTCCCATAGACCTGACATGACACGACATATGTGAATTTTAAATCTGCAAGAGCTCGTGCACGGTCACAAAAAGCCTTTTGATCATCTTCATTTGATTCTGAGGGAAGATAGCCACCACCATTGGTCGCTGCAAGATGAAGATAGAGATCGTAAGAAAAATGATGTCACAGGCAAGATTAACTTTCCAAACCACAAAATCTATAAGGTTAAAAAGTTCAATATAATGAGAGGAGGTACAAACCATTTTCTCCAGTGTATTCCTGGAAACACTGAAGTTCAAGAGCCACTCTGTAGTACATCATTCCCCTAACTAGCAATAGTAAGGAATATTAGTGATCTCAGATCGAAACAATATATTGTTTAAGAAAATCCTACAGCGTTCTGATAGTATACCTGTCCTTGAAAGGGTCTGGCCTCTATAAGATACCCATTGGCGGAGTTGCTCTGCCTTGTCTTTCTCAGATAAATTACGTTTCACGTCATTTATACGTTCACAATAGTTTGACCATTCCTCTGTTACGCAGTCATTTTCATTCAGTAAATTTTAAATTTGTTGTAAACACGTACAAAAGCACCAGATAGAAGCTTACCAGGATATATCCTCTGGAGGTAAAATAAAATAGTAATTCCATCTTCGTTTTCCTTGTTCAGTTCTTCCTCCGAATAGAGAACATCCTCTTTGTAATAAGGAGTTAAGACACTAAACATAAATTTGGGAAAACAATTGTTACTTGCTTTCAAGATCATCTAAAGTAGTATTCTTTATGAACCAACTCAGAAACAGACTTGGATCATGTCTCAGACCATTCTAACTTTTATTTAGCAAAGTAGTGAGTCAATATTATATTTCCCAGGATATTAAGCTAAAATCTGTACCTAAAGGATAACATGTCACGAACACGAGGAGCATCTGGCATATTCATGAATAAGGAATTTGCAAAGAATGTCATACGACGACGAGCTTCCAAACTTTGAGGGATATTTATAGCGGATTCTTTAACAGTCACAAGTAACAAAAGTCTTACAACCTACAAAATTAGAACAAAAGAATAAGATCCAAAAGCAGAAGATATGGCTGTTCACATCAGACCAAAAGAAAAATTGTGTACCTTTTCCCTCCAAGATATGTTCTGAGTCAAACGAAGATCTATCTTTTCAAACCTTTGTTCTT